ATTAGCTGCCTCCTTTTTGCAATCTGCTTTTGGCCTCCTAGTTTGACATTTTGCTTTTATGCCTGTTGCATGTTCCTTAATGATTTCAATGGAACACAGTTTTATCCTTTGTAAACTTTTAGTCAGTTGCAGGAATAGTAGTGCTTTTACACACACACACACACACACACACACACACACACACCCTCATGCACAGAGAGTACAATCCAGCCAACATTAATGATTTTTTAAGTCCCAGTGATGTCGAAGAGTTAATAATAATATGCTGAGTTTTTCTCTGCTGAAATGTAGAAAAATTGGAAGTGCCTAACTTTATCTGGATCATAGGATGAACTGAGGTTGTGGAGTCCTCGTTCTCCTCAAATCCATAGAGTTCTGGTTTTATAAACAGAAATGTTGTAGGACTAAGTTCTCAGCATGAAAAATTCATTGCCTTGGCAAAGGAAACAATGGTCTCTGCTGCAATGCTTTATTTTTAAATAAAATAGTATTAACTTTAGACTATCCTCTCTTGTTATTTTAACAATGTATTTCATAAAAAGGGAATTTTGCATTGGCTTAAACTCCCTGCATCATGCATGCCTAATTGCTGTTTTAGGATGCAATCGTATACCGACTTGCTTGTGAATAAGCACCGTTTAATTCAATGGGATTTCCTTGCATCGAATTACTACTTTAATCACGTCATTTATTTATTAGATAAATATATCCTTTCTTCCCTCCAAAGAGTTTAAGGTTATTTCCATTTTTATCCACACAAGTACCCTGTGAAGTGGGTTAGGGTGAGAGATAGTGACTGGCCCAAGGTCACCAAGTGAGTGGCGATTTGAACCCATGTCTCCCCAATCCTAGTCCAATACTCAAGCTCAAACTCAATACTGGCATAACATGTGCAGCTTTAGCACAGCTCATCAGAAGTTTTGGATTGCTAAGCAGGGACTGCCAAATTAGTTTCATGTTGCTTAGTTTATATTTGTTTTAGACTGTAAAGGTAAAGGGACCCCTGACTATTAGGTCCAGTCGTGGCCGACTCTGGGGTTGCTGTGCTCATCTTGCTTTATTGGCTGAGGGAGCCAGTATACAGCTTCCGGGTCATGTGGCCAGCATGACTAAGCCGCTTCTGGCAAACCAGAGCAGCACACGGAAACGCCGTTTACCTTCCTGCCGGAGCGGTACCTATTTATCTACTTGCACTTTGACGTGCTTTTGAACTGCTAGGTTGGCAGGAGCAGGGACCGAGCAATGGGAGCTCACCCCGTTGCGGGGATTCGAACCGCCGACACCTTCTGATCAGCAAGTCCTAGGCTCTGTGGTTTAACCCACAGCGCCACCCGTGTCCTGTTTTAGACTGTACCTACATTTAAAATGTATTAATACGACCCAAAGTTCTAAAGGGTTCTGCTTTGCACACAGTAGAACTCTAGTGATGCACACGGGTAGCCTTGCTCATTTTGATGTCATGGAATGCTCTGTGACAGCAATGAGGATGCTTGCAGGAATTATTATTATTATTATTATTATTATTTTAATTAGTTTTATTGGTTTTTTTGTGTTATAAACAGGGGAACAGTACATCTGTTGTCTCCACTTTGAATTCAGTCTTTTTCACAGTTTGTTTACATTTGGTGAGAGACATTTTTGTCATAGACATCTTGGTGAGGGGGTAGAGAAATGGGGATACTGTTCTTTCATTCTGTTGCCTATTCTTAGTGTTGGGGTGGGTTGTGTCAGCATCACATGAGCGGGTTCTTTGAGTATTTATTTAGTTATTTATTTATTATCAATATTGCGATAGGTTAGGGGTTCCTGAGCTTGCTTGGTTGTGTTTAGTTGATTGCGGTGTGGTTTATTTGTGTGAGGGAGGTGGGCTAGGTTGTTGGGTCAGGTGAGCCATATTGATTTGTATGCTGCTGAAGGGGGAATAGGTTATTGTCTTGTTGTGTTGTGTATCTAATAAAGGGGAACCACACTGGGGTGAAGCATCTTCTGTAGCTTGTCCCCGTGCTAGTTTGAGTTTGTTGGTTAGCTTTCCCAGTAGGGCGGTTTCCCATACGCTTTGGGACCAGTGGCCTATGTTGCTTGCAGCAATTATCAGTTCACAGAATAAATTGTGCAGGATGGTTCCTGAGATCATGGAGCAGGTTTTCATCTGTGTTTAGATCATTTTGAATCAAGAGGGTGGGCTGAACCTTTCAAAACTGCATTGTTGTTATTCTTGGGTGTGAGGTTGCTGGTAATTACTCTGTTCTTCGGCAGAATTCAAGAACTAAATTATACAGTAAAAAAAAAAGGGCGGGAGTTCATTTGAGGGCCAATATGTACAAGGAGAGCAGCATTCCAGTTTGGTTTTGCTATAAATGGTGTCCAAAGGCATAGCAAAGAGACAAATAATTTCCAAAATATATAGCAGATAGTGGTACCAATCTTATACAAAAGCATTGTAATCTGTCAATACTTTTGCTCATCTGGTTTCTGGGAACATACCAGATGTTGATTCTGCAGAGAATATGGTAACAATGGGGAGCAATAGATTCATGAACCAATCACAAGTGTGGCTTCCTGAAGTGGTTGAAATGGCTGTTGGCAGAATGATGTGGTCTTATTTGTATACACAGAGTGTACAAAGGAGAAAAATGAAAACAAAGAGCAGTGGAAATGAGAAAAGGGAGTGTCATTTGTATTCTTTGGCGAATGATGTACAATCCAAAATGCTTGCTCTCACATCATATATTACTGAATAGCATTCATTTCCTCAGCAGAAAGATGACACTTTAATAGATCTCGGAGATAATTTATATAGGGCAGTTGATGTTTCCTCAGAGTTGCTCAACACATTGTAATTGTATTACTGGTAATGAATCTCATTTTTGCCGTGATGCTGAGGGAACAGGATTGCTGATGAACGTCGAATCAATTGCCCTCAAAAGAGACACAAGGTTTTGATTATTTAAATTCACTCCCCTCCTTCCCACTGCATTGTTTTGGTAGGTAAACAGGGAAGTAAGAAGCAATGTGAATTTATAATCTCTCTGAACACACTACTTTCCATTTCACTCCCACTGGGGAAACCCAGCCAGATGGGTGGGGTATAAATAATAATAATAAATAATAATAATAAATAATAATAATAATAATAATTACTATGTATGATAGCTATTGAGAAGGAGTCATGGAATGTGCTGATTTGCCAGCACAGGAACATAACGGCCACGTCAGGTGAAGGGAGGGCCACACTTGAAGGCCTTCAGTGGAATTAGATTCTATGGGATCAGGGAGGGAGATTTCTTCCTCAGCTGTTCCCTGCCATGCCTTTTGTAGCCGAAAAACACCTGGTTTGTAAAGTGCTAAAAACGAAGAAGCATCTGCTCCATCTGTCTCCTTGGTGACAAGAGGGTTGCACACTGGCTCCCAGTTTCTTTCTCCAAGCATAGACAAATGATTCTAAATTTAACTTTGATTTTCTGCTTAACTGAGCCTGTGTCCAACCAGTTTAAACAGATACCTGCTGTTAACAACAGAGAGCCAAACAGCCAGAAGCCTGCTGAAGTCTTCCTATGAGTCGGGAGGCAATGGACAGAGGAGTGGCAGGCAGTGGCGGAGCAAGCCGATTGGGCGCCTGGGGTGGCGCGTGTGCCCTGCGCCCAGGGGCGGGGCCAGCCACCCCCGGGGCCACCGTGGGGCCTCCAAGGAGTCTGCCTGCCTCCTCCCACTCAGCCACCCTACAGCTGAGGGGGAGGCAATGGGCAGACTGTTTGGGGCAGCACTGAGCCTGCAGGCGCCCAAGCCACCGTGTCACTCCCAGGATAGATGCGTAGCTCGGGCGTGCTTCAGGCCCCGCGGTGAGTGCCGCCCACCATTTTGTCACCCCCCTCAGTGGGGACACCCGGTGCGGGTCGCACCCACCGCACCCCCCTTGCTACGCCCCTCAAAGGTCCCCTTAAAAATAAATTCTGTGCTTCTGTTCAACAACCGCATGTTCTGGGCAAATTCACTGAGGGCTAAAAAAATGGGTTTTATCAAGTTACTCCTCCTCCTAAATACTAGATGGATTACCAACAACCACACTGCTGTTTGAAAATATAAAAAAGTGTGCAGGGGTCTTCTGGCTGACCGTAACACTCTGTTTGATGAGTTTTTCCACATGTGATTGATCAGAACAGAAAAAAAGAATCACAAGCTTATAACAGCAGTTACTAATGAAAGCTATGAGACGACCACTTTACCGTGCAGCTAGCCAATGTGTGCTTCCAGTTGCCGTAATCTTAGGACCAGTTTGGGGGTCACATGAATCAGTCTTTACCCTCAAAAAAAATGTTTGTATGATGTGTGTAAGGGGAATTGTGTCCTATATAAAACATTCACGTCCTGTTAAGGTTACATGGGGGAGGTGCACGTCACTTTTGTTAAGCAATTTTGGCATGGCAAATGGTCAGGGAGTTGTAGTTCAGAAACGTCTGAAAAGTCACATGATTGAATTAGAGAATGTAGGTCAGGGATGGGGAGCATTTGTTGTTGGACTGCACTTCCCAACAGTCCCACTGGCCAATGGTCAGTGATGATGGGAGTTGTAGTCCAACAAAACTAGGAAGGCTACAGTGTTCCTATCCCTGCTTTTGTATGGACAGAGACCCTGTGAAAGCCTGGCAGGCTACCTCTCTTCTTGCCATCTACGATTTAGTTATTTTGTTTGCTGAGTAAGTGCCATTGCCCTTAGTGGATCTTACATTTGAGTAGGCAATGTGTAGTATTGTGCCATAAACAAATATCTCTCCTAATTTGCTGCTACTTGTATTTATGTTTTCTGTATCCAGTTGTTGCTTGAAAATTTGATTTTACTGGCATTGCCTTTTGACTGCAAATGCTTTCTTTTGTACATCACCTCGGGCACCTTGTCAGAAAGGGGGAATGCAAATGAAGTAATTAGATGAAGTGCAGCAGGGGTTCTTTGTGTGGTGTGTCCAGAAACACCACAACATTGGCTATAAATATTAATGACCTCCCTCCACCTCTTTTGGAAAGAAAGCAATTTGCAATGAACAGCAAGGTTTGAAGTATTTTAAGAATGTGGCAAAATCTTGGCTATAATTCATTCTCTCTGCATATAGAGCCTTTGTCCTCCACATGTAGAGAGGATTGATGATAGTCTTTATGTCTTTATTGGGCTGAAGACTCTTTTCTATCAGATGGTCTCTCATCAAACTCAGGCTCTGTCTTCAAAACTTTTTTAATGTGCTGCACAAATATTCTAGCCTTTGCATCTAAAATACATTTGTGCTATGTAAGTGTTTATTCACTGCATGCATTTTTCAGATCAGGCTGCATATTCATTTTATAGTGAAAATATGAAGTTAAGCATCAACAGTGGAAACAGTTCAATCTCAACTTATTGTCCCATTTAGCAACAATGTTCTATTTAATAGAACTATTTAATGCCCTGCATCTGTTCCTATTGAGCTAACATATTGCAACACCTTCATAAAAGTGAGCCAATTAAAGCAGCTGGCTGTTCTTAAAGTTGAGCAACTTTGTGCATTCCAGAGTGTCTCATTGGAAATTAATCTGATGCTGAAAAATAGGCAGCAGGCCTTGGGCAGAGTGTCAGAGTTGGAAGGGACCCTGAGTGTTATCTAATCCAACTCCCGGCAATGAAAGAATCTTTTAAAACAAACCTCCAAGGAAGGTTAGTACCCTTGGGTGCACTTCATCAGGTCCCAGAGATGTGAATTCATTTAAGGTAGCTAGATGTTCCATTACCACATCTTGGGCTGTAGCTCCCTCTGTGCATCGTTTATTCTGTTCTCAACAGGTTGGGCACTGCTTTTCTTTTGAGTGATGAAAGAGGTAAAGTAGGTGTTCCGCCTTCTGTCACCTAATAGTATTTATCTGTCTTCTCCATACTGTGTTAAGAGCTCATATTTGTCTTGCTTGTTTCCCCTTACTCTGTGCATTAGTACAGAGACAACCGAACCCATGAGTCATTCTCTCCAGCTGCTTCCTCCTTGTAGTTTCCCAACCTTTAGCAGGTTTTCTGGAGCACCACTTCAGTTTCCTGTGCATCAATGAAGCTATTATCCCTAGTGCCAGGTCTTCCCCTGTCAACTATAATATGACAGTCTCTTTATTGTCTCCCTCCCCCTCAGGATTGCAGTCTTCATTATTATTTAAAACCCTGATGCCTTCAGAAGTCTAAAGAACATGACATGCACACAGATGAATGGAAGCTGATATCACAGTTCACAAGGTATGAAATATGCATGCTTTTGCAGCTCTTGAATGATCAATAATTTTTAACTCTTAACAACATAGCTGCAAGGAGGTGCTAGTCTAGGTATGTTGGTTGCCCACCCATGCCTGGAAGTGCTGTGTTACACTTTTTTGTCTAATGCTTAAAAACTTGCTACTTATTCAGCAAAAGATAGTTTATAGGGAAGAATTCATTAAAATAACTTTAGCATGGAAAAATAGTATTATCTGAAGCTTAATATAAACATTATAGATAAAATACATATTTACACAATAGCAAAGTACATTTATATACAACAATATCTATTATATTTAAATTATATACTTTAAAAATGTCACCAGACTAATAAATTATACACAGTATCAAACATGTCTGGCACTTCTGTAGTGCATAAAATATTTTTTTTAAAAAAACCAACAGATACAACTGCAACAAGCAGGAATCTGTTGGAGCTTTAGTGCCTTGAATAAACAGCATCTGAAACAAAAAGAAAATGGAAGTTAGGAAGAGCACACAGAATGGTTTTGTTTTCATATTTCCAGTACCAGCCTGTAAACATGTCCTTATGAAAGTACTAGAATGATATAGATAGCTGGAGACCAGAATTGTGTCTCTATGCAAAATAAGAAAGCGGCAACTGTGCCTTAGAACAACAAGACAGAACAGTCATATATTTTTTTTCTTGACAGGACTCCTGCCTTTTTAACGCTAATAGGACATTGCCCTATAAATCTTTTAAACAAAAACAAATAACAAAACCAAGCTATATAAAAAGCAGAAATTGAGGAAAGAAAGCTCTTTTTGGCATACAAGTACTGTGATTAGGTTAAGCCTTTCCTGCTGGATTTCTGCTTCTCACACAGCTCTTAAAGGACATAAGCTCTGCAACGGGGTGGGGTGGGGAGGTAGCCATATTAGTATTCAGTATCATCTATACTACAGACTTACAGTGCAGTTCTAAACTTGTCTACTCAGATGCAAGTGCTGCATAGTTTTGTAGGGCTTCCTCCCATCTGGAGTTACAGCTTTGAACTGGTTAAGCCATCATTCCTTACCCCAGGGAACTCTGGGAACTTTAGTTCTGTGGAAGGGGAAAAGGTTCTTTAAAAAAATAGTATCTTTTTCAGGGCAGCCATCTTGGTACTCCCCAGATGTTATAGACTTCAGTGGTCAGGGATGATAGGAGTGAGAGTCCAACAAGCCTGTTTAGTGGCTTTCACCAGTGATGTAATAATCTATGCTCTGGAGAGTTGGCATACACATGTGTTGAAAACAATTCTAGCAGGGAATTAACAGAAATCTTTATAATTCATGTAGTAGGATCAATTTTTTGCTGGGGGGCAGAGAGCTATGGCAGTTAAATTGGCCTAAAACACCCACATATTTGTACCTATGAAACAGCAATAAGATTCAAACTGCAAACCCTTGCAAAGGAACATCCATTAATCTTGTGAAAATAAATAAATCTAAATCAGGTACAGTGGTACCTCGGGTTAAGTACAGTGGTACCTCGGGTTACATACACTTCAGGTTACAGACTCTGCTAACCCAGAAATAGTACCTCAGGTTAAGAACTTTGCTTCAGGATGAGAACAGAAATCACGCTGTGTCGGTGCAGCAGCAGCAGGAGGCCCCATTAGCTAAAGTGGTGCTTCAGGTTAAGAACAGTTTCAGGTTAAGAACGGACCTCCAGAACGAATTAAGTACTTAACCCGAGGTACCACTGTACTTAATTCATTCTGGAGGTCCGTACTTAACCTGAAATTGTTCTTAACCTGAAGCACCACTTTAGCGAATGGGACCTCCCGCTGCTGCTGCACCGCCGGAGCACGATTTCTGTTCTCATCCTGAAGCAAAGTTCTTAACCTGAAGCAATATTTCTGGGTTAGCGGAGTCTGTAACCTGAAGCATATGTAACCTGAAGCATATGTAACCCGAGGTACCACTGTATAGTTATCATGCCTACTCTCTGGAGCTTTGGACTAAACCTTCCTTCAGCCCCAGCCACCATGGCCCAGGGATGAAGAGAGTTGTGGTCTACAATATCTGGAGACATCACATTGGCTATCCTTGAACAAAATAGAGAGTTTTAAAAATTGTCAGTATGGGTAAAAATAAAATAAAAAGTTTACTGGGCATTTAGCTGCAGAATAGTCAGATATTCTGTGAATCTACCACCACAGAACTGATTACTATACAGGACTCCACTATCAAAAATTGATAAGGCGGCTTTAGTAAATCCTCTCATTATGACTTCCTATACTGGAGCAAGATGTCAAGCAAAGAAAGTGATGGAAGGGCAAGGCAGGTTATTCTTATCAAGGTCGTTTGTTTGGTATAGTAAATATGTCTGGTATTTTATTAGCACAATATATTCTCCCTTCTCCAGAAAGCCTAAAACCTCAAAAGGCAGCAAAAGGGTGCTATTCTATAGCATAAAATATGGCATATGAACACATGAAGGGAAACACATTAAGCCTGTAATGGAGCCTTCAAGTACAGCCCATGAAAAGTTGAAAGAACTAGATGGTGTTTAGAGATCCCTTGAATGGCGGAGATTTCTTTCAAATAATAGAAAGGTCAAGTTGGAGGACAGTAATATACTATATCCATGAGATTTCGTTCAAAGTTCTGGGGTGTAAATTCTCAACTTTTTCAATGGGAGTAGACTGGTTTAAATAAAAATATTTAATCCTCTGTTGTGGTGGACTGCGCAATAACAGCACAAATGTAACAAATATCAAGGAGTTGTAGGTTCAAAGGAACTGCATGAACAACTAAAGAAAAAGAAAATGAGGGTTAATGCTCAGAACCATCTTGCTTCTCTTCTCAGCTCATGATACCTTCTTACCCGTAAGAAGCAGATTATATGATTCACCATCCATTGTCAGCTCTTTTAACAGAAGTCCCAGGTTGTGTGCTGACATTCAAAATTGCAATCTTTATATTTACTGAAAGAGATGGCTGCTTTTGCTATAACTACCAGTTATATTATAATCATGTTGTTATACATCATAAAGTTATATTATTAATCTTAAAAAAAATATCCTTACCTCTGTGATACTCTGGATTCACATTTTCATATATTGGAAACAATGGGTTTTCCTGTTCACTGCGTAGCTTTCTTGCTCTTAAGACATCTCTCACACATTGATGTAAATACGCATACTGACACTACAGTGAAGGAAGAGAATGTGTCAAGATGAGGAAAAAAATGTTTTTTCAGGTCTTCCTTTCCTAGTGATAGGAGAACATATTTGTTCAGGTCATTTTGAACTTTCTGAACCAATATATGAACTGGAAAACAGCTTTCCCTGGGAAAAAACACACACTCTATTTTATGAATTTTGCATTGTCATTCTCTAACCAAACCATATTAAAGAGAGAGCATGCACTGGGTGCAAATTGCTTGCAAAAAATCATATAACAGATAAATCTGTGTATTAGGAGGCATGCACACAATATTATGAATTTTCATATGGCTTCTTTGAAAATTGCAAATGTGCACAGAAACTAGATAAACTGAAATTAAGATTTGAAAAATGAGAAATTGTGAGAAATCAAAATTGACAGATCCCTCTAATCTCTTGACACCAATCAACACCTGAATCATTAAGTTGTTGGGGGGGGGTCTGCTTCCTTTACAGCTTAGAGAGCCTTTTGCAGCTGGCTTATTAGGATGGAATTCCTCTTATCCAAGTGTTCTCTTTCCCCCATAATCTAAGGTGTTAAAGGGCCAGAATTCCTAATAATTGAATGGACTGGAGGCATTGGGTTTGGATGACATACCACCAGACTGGAGTGGAATGTTAGCTCCCCACCAGGCACACCACATTAGATGGTTCAGAATGGTTGCTCCTGCCCTAGGCTTGACTTCTGTAATGCTACTAGATTATAGAGCATGAAGGGGGGGGGGAGGTGAGAGTTTCCCTCTGTTTATTTCAACATCCACCTGTAAGTTCTTGCTAGCCCCCAACATGCTATGAAATATTGACCTCTTTGATCCAGAAATGTACAAGTGAGGAGGGCCTAATTGGTTTAAATGAGCTGCATTGCATGACTGCACAGTTCATTTTAGCCCATAGCCATGCTAGGTAGATCTGAAAGGTCCATTTCCTTGACAGAAGCAGCAAGTCACCAAATCTCAACTCTGGCAGTAAGACTGTGGAGGCCTCTTTGCCTCCTTCCTATTCTGCTTGGATCATAGTAAAGTTCAAAATGTTGAATTTTCAATGTAATGAAAGAACTCAAAACCATTCAATCATCTCCTCACTTTTATACCAGATAACCGGAATATTATTGTAAATCCCATCTAAAAATAAATTAGTTTCACTTTTCTAACTAGGAAGAATATCCCCATTAGTTAATTCAATTAATAATACTCATCATCTTAACGGTAGTAATATTTTCCAGAGTGATGCCAGCCTAGTGACTAAGGCGTCTTTTTTTTTTTTTTTTTTTTTGCAATGCAATCATTTTTAGTGCCTACATGGAAAATCTCCCCCACAATTATAACACAGGCTTCTCAGCTTTGCCTGTTAAAAACCTTAAGTTTGAACTTATTAGAGCATCTCATTTATTAGGAAGCACTTGGATTTTTCATTATGATCCAAGCAACAGCACCATAGCATTTTCAAACAGTGCTAAGCACAGTCTAAGAGACACACAGGAATTTGTAGATCACTGTAACCTGACAAATTAAACAGACCCAGATTCTAATACCGCTGGAACAGCCTCTCTCATTGTGCCTGGTTGGAGGGGAGGGAGAAATTCCCAACAGCTAACCAGGAAGAATTTAAACTAATGAAGGCTTGCAGGATCCCAGACTACAACACTGAACTTGAACAGTCCGCTCTCCCAGTTCTGCTACTGTTCCTGTTTAATTCTTCGACACTACATATTTCCAGCATAATAATAAGACTTTCCCATCCCATTGGTCCTTCTGTTTGTTTCCTCCCCTGTTCTCTACCAGTGAGGGAGATGTACTGTAATTCTCTATTGTGGCTGATAAGTGCAAACTGTTTAATTATTATTTGCTGAGGTTTAATTTTACTGTTTACTATTAGATCCTGATGGATTGCTGAATGTTGCTTTGCTTGGTATGTTGTTTATTTTAAAGTTATTGTGACTTTTTATATTGGATCATATTGTTACTATTAGGCTGGATCTAGACACATCAAAGAAGTGTTTCACTTAAGTGCGCTGTAAACTTTGTATGCGAAATCGGCATAGCAAAAATGAAACTCTACAGTACGCAGCTGGTGTCACAGTCTTAGAAAGCATAAACAATGCATATAAAGCAATTTTTATTTACCAATGTAGCCAAATCCTTAATGTTTGGTTAGATTTTTATATGTGTTGGAAGCCGCCCAGAGTTCCTGGGGCAACCCAGCCAGATGGGTGGGGTATAAATAAATTATATTATTATTATTTTATTTTACATGCAAGATGCATGTTTTCCTGGACTTCACAGCAGCATGCATAATGCTGTGATGGTTCCAAATAGGGGCTTAATATCGCAAAGATGTCCTTCAGATATTGCAAATGGGAAACTGGAATCAGGGTGTTTTTTGTTTTTGTTTTTAACTTGTCTTATTTTACACTGAAAATCCAGATTAAATGAGGAAAAAATATTAGCTGGTATGTTGATGCCAGCAATGGCATCTAGACAAACAAACAAACATGCATGCATGAGGAGCAACTATCTCTATCTGGAAGCACCCTGGTTGCAAGCATAGCAAGTGTCCTCACCAACAACAGTAGCACTAACTTCTCTCTCTCTTTCTGTGTGTTTTAAATTAAAGATTTGTGCTCTCATCTTGTTTTATTACCCGCTTGTGAACAACATGTTGGGAAGAGACTGATCTCTTCTTCCCAATACCATAATAATGAATGATGGCAAAACCTGCTTGGTAAATAAATAGAACACACTAAAAGTCGTCTCTCCCTCTGACCTTGCAGCTTCTAAGTAATAAGCTCACAGATAAGTATCTACAACTTCAGTTATATATCCTTCTTTATCTCTGCTTGTTTGTCTGATGGTTTTCTAAGCGCTCATATACAGAGCTCCTAAGTATGTCTCATCTTTTGAACCATTGTCTACCCCACTAAGCCTAATGCTCTGAAACACTGACCCTATTTCACCCATGGAGGAAAAAAAAATCCCTAGTTATTTGTCCAGAGTGCCTGTAAATTACTGTCTATATAAATGGATAGCGAAATAGGCACTTCCCCAGAGCTGGTGAAAATTGCTTTCACTTCCCTCATTGTAAAGGACTACATTTTTTGTGAGGCTGCTGTTAGGGAGCAAGTACATCCCCCTCGTATTTTGAAAAGTTAAGTAATTAAGCTGCAGCAGCTACTGATTGTTTTGTAGTACCAGCATTCATCTGTGCAATACAGAAGGTGCACAAAAAGGAGCGAAGAAAGGAGAAGGGGAAAAAAACTCCTGTTGAAGTGCGGCTAGCTAGCATCATGGGAGATAAAAGGTACTTAAGGTACTGCTGTACAAGCAAAGCTTTGTTATAGGATGGGTGGCTGGATAGTCATAGAAATCCAAACGTTACATGAGAGCTCAGCACTTTTAGGAAATGATGCATGAGGTCCAAGAAGACAAAGAGGGATGAGCTAAGGGCTAGACGATACATTGGCTCACTAATCTGTGCCCTTAAGTGCAGGGTGTTTTTTATTTTTAAAAAACCACACATTTCCAGCAAGGGGATTGAGTGGGGGGGGGGGGACTGAATCATGACCTTAGTGTGGGAAGCAGTAGGCTTTACCCAACTGCTAATTGGGATTGCCACCCCCGCCAAACCCCCTGCATCAATATGCATTGGGGGGGACGACGACGACGTTCCATTTCCTTCAGTGGTGTTTTAATGCAATCTGAGATCACAGCAGGGAACAGAGACTCTGGCCCTTGAGGAAAGTTACCTGTGCCTAGCTTACCTTTGCTAGCTGACTTCCTCCCATAACTGACAAGCAGTTGCTAGCTGACCAGCAATTTATTTATTAACTTTGTATACCAGCTTTCATTTGTACACAGCAAGATAAAAACACATAAAAATGAGAACAGCTTATCTATGCTAGCTGACCACCTCCCCTAGCTGATTAGCAGTTTCTAGCTGACCAGGAATTTGAGAGGTGAGGGAGAAGATATATAATTGAGGAAAGAAGGGCACAAGGAGGGAAAGGAACTGGAGAAACCTCACACATGGTCTAGAGCCATGGTTTCAAATGTGGGGCACTCACACCACGGAGGGGGGGGTTGGCAATTTGAGAATGAGTTAACAGTTAATGGCCTTTTAGGCTTCCTTCATGTGAATAGGAGTTCACTTTTTGAACAATAAGAATTAATATGTCACGGGGAGGGCATCAGGATTTTAGAGATGCTTAGGTGGGGCATGGCTAAAAAAAGGTTGGGAACCACTGGTCTGGAGACTTATTTCTGTTGAGAGGAAGGGAGAGGGTGGAAACAAGCAGAGTTTGGGGAGGGCTGGTGAGGGAAGGGGCTTGTGGGAAGGTAAAGTTGCAATTGCTGCTGCAATTGCAGCAGCAGCACCAGAACCTTACCCAAACCCAGAAGAGTGGACCAGGAAGACCGGAGAGTGGAAAAAGTGTGTTGGAATTTCATACACTGGTTTGAACCGAACAATTCAGTTTTTAGCAAGGACTCTCCGGTTATTGTGGTATGATAATAGTGGCATCCTAATAATGCTTACCTCTGTTTGGACCATGTGGACTCTGTGAAGCCTCAGATCATGCACAGCCCCGTAAATATCCACAGAATCTTTTGAGTCCAACTGCTGAAGAATTCGATCCAGTGCAATAAAGGTGCCTGTTCTTCCAACTCCAGCACTGAAAAAGAATACAGAAACAGTGTGTCTCCTGATGTGCTGCTCCTCTTCCTCGTCTGGCTAATAAGACACAGGAGGCTCAAGCTAAGCTCTCATTTGTATTCATTTCCATCTTTTGTATTTTAACTGAGAGAGAAGCAGGGAAACTTCTCAGTGCCGCCCACCGGCAAAACGGTTGGAAGAATGATCTCTTGGTAGGTACACTTTGCACTTGGGGAAGACTTAAACTTCCAGTTGGCTATCAGACGTCCTACCTGTTCAATGAGTCTGGAAAGCAAATAAAAGGCAAAGACTTCTTGATGCTCTCTCGCCCACCCCCAACCCAGTCTTCAAAGCACTGTTGTCCTGCTAATACCTGCAGTGTACTATGGTTGGTCCTGCACGGGGTGTTCGGTTGATATAATCTCGTACAGTTCTCACAAACTGGATGAGGGACTGGGTGGTTTCCGGTACACCATGGTCTGGCCACACTGTGTAATGGAACTGGCGAATGAGTCTAGAGGAATCAAGCTGCTCTTCCTATAAGGTCAAGGGGAAAATTAGACATAGAAAGCAGACAATATACACCACTGTGTATCTCCGCTGAGTATCAGAGGGCAGGTTCTCACACTGTACAGATAAGGGAGGTGTAGGGAACCTTTGGCCCTCCAGAGGTTGCTGGACCTCAACTCCCAACAGCCCAAGCGATCATGGTCAATGGCCACAGATGAAGGCAGATGTAGTTCAGCAACATCTGGAGGGCCAAAGCTCACCCCCCCACACACCTGAGATAAGGGATGACACTTGGCTTTTTATTTCAATTGTAAATAGCTCTTAGTCAGACCAGGAAAAACTGAGAAGGACCTGGCAGATAGGTAGGTATATTAAGTTTATGACACAGCAGCAACCAGGCCATATTTGCCACACACTAGTCAGATCTAACAGTTTAAAGAGTTAGCTGAAAGTTGGGTGCTTCATGCTGTGAAAGTAGAATGATATCTGCATGCCTTTTCAAAACACAAACATACTCTCATGTTTCATTGTAATGTGAGAAACAACTTCCACAGAGCAGTTCTTACATGCCTACTCAGAAGTAACTTCCATTTTGTTTAGTGAGACTTACTCCCAGGTAAATTAGTATCGGATTGGGGGACTCCTAGTCTTTAACTTCTGGCCCAAGGAACCAGTTGATTATTTAATACTCAGTCTCTGCTAGTGTAACTTTATTTTTGAGGAAAGCTTGCTAAAATAGTTTTATTATACTTACACTGCAAACCTTAAACTCTCTTATTGTCCATTCTGGGAGTACTGACTCAGATAGCATCTGGACTATTAAGTCTCCATAATATAAGGAGTCCTGATCAAAGGGCCAGTAATGGTCACATTTCACCTAAAGAAACAAAGAAGAGTCTGCTTTTACTATCAGAAGAATAGATTTACTTTTACGTGTATATTCCCTTTGGTAATCAATAAACAAAAATGACAAAACATAACATCAGTTGATGTGAATTCTTTATATTTAACTTTAAAAGGCCCAGCAAATTATAGACAATTATATACAATTACATGGATGGCACAAATTATGATGTATTCTCTTCTAGAAGCATAGTGCAGATTTTATCAGGATGCAAATGACAACTGTAGAATGCTAGAGTGCCTTCAGACAGAGTTTTTAGTGCTGCCCACTCATTATTCTCCCACAGTAAGCCACGTAACTAGCCACGCTTCAACAGGTACATCCTGCTATCTTCTGTCATGTCAATGTTCACTCATTTCTTATGAGTAGCAATTTCACATTAAAACGACAGCTGTCCTGTGCACCAATAGCATCGCTGATCCACACCCTGCCTTCCTTCTGGAAGATAATCACATTAGCACACTGATCTGCCACTGGAGGACTAATGGCTCCAAGCCAGAAGGCTACTTGGATTAACTTCTGTAGATCTTTTCATGCATTTGTCGTGAAGCTCTTTACACAATGTGGCAACATGTCCTGACCCTGGTTGGGTTATCTCAAGTGCTAGTGTGAGATATAGATACATATATGTAATCAAGAAACAGGAAAGCTATTTACTCACCCGACCCTTCTCAACACATTGGGTTACCATGACAACATTGTGAACATTCTGTTCCCATGCCATTTTCCAGAAATCATCCTTTGTGCCGGGCAGAGGTCCTTGAGTTGCGATATATTCCCTGCGAAAATTATTGCCCTGCCAATTTAGAAACCTATGATTAGTTTAGATAGTGTTGTCGTATGCAGAGGCATCTTTCTTGGATAACTGGCTTTAAAGCACAGTGCTGAAGGTTGCTTTGAGGCTTGAGAGCAGTAAGGTGATTGGAGAAGAGAAAGAGAGAATGTCTCAGTGCATTGAATCACAGGGATCAAAAGGCACTGCACTCCAAGCACCATGCCGCAAAACAATACCATCCATTCCTCACCAGCCAGTCGTCCTTGCCCTCTCAAGATCAACTCACACAATGCAAAACAGAGAATGATGCAAGGAGAGAGCAGGCTTTTCTTTAAAAGATGCCTGAAGGACAAATAGCTCTAGGTAAAAAAAGGACTAACGGTTTTGAAATTAAGAAACAACAGCAAGATTATGATCAAAGCCTATCCACTGATTCTTCCCAAGGAAAATGTTAAAAGTAAAGGTAAAGGTACCCCTGACCATTAGGTCCATTAGGATGACTCTGGGGTTGCGGTGCTCATCTCGCTCTATAGGCTGAGGGAGCCAGCAGACAGCTTCCGGGTCATGTGGCCAGCATGACTAAGCCGCTTCTGGCAAACCAGAGCAGTGCACGGAAATGTTTACCTTCCTGATGGAACGGTACCTATTTATCTACTTGCACTTTGACGTGCTTTCGAACCGCTAGGTAGGCAGGAGCAGGGACTGAGCAAAGGGAGCTCACCCCGTCACAGGGATTCGAACTGCCAACCTTCTGATTGGCAAGCCCTAGGTTCTGTGGGTTAGACCACAGTAAATTCAGTTTACCCAACAACTTGGATCTTGTTGGGAGATATTTATTAGCTCCTCTTGTTCGTGTTATCTGTATTGTACCAGGCCAGCCTTTACCAACCTGCTGCCCTCTGGCTGTTTCGGACTACATTTCCCATCAACCCCAGGCAGCATCGGCAATGGCAAGGGATGATGGGAATTGTAGTATAAAGCATCTGGGGAGCACTGGCATGGCCATTAGACTCATTAGGTGAAATTGGGCCACCGGTCCCTATCTTGCCTACCTCATAGGTTCATTGTGAGAATAAAATGGGAGAAGGAGAACCATTATGCCAACAGAAGGATGGGCAGGATCAATAACAACAGAAAAAATATCCTAAACTGGGATGTCATGGCAACAAAGTCACCCAATCAATTCATCAAGGTCTTCTGGAGTGTTCACAAACATAACTACAATAGATGACAGAGTGAAAATCTTAACATTGAGTGTTCACAACAGTATATAGCTCATTGTCCTTCAGCCTTGGGTCTCTGAATCCCCCATGATTGGCTAAGCAGTTTGAGGATGATGGGAGATGCCGTCCAACAATACAGAGGAACCCATGGTTGAAGAACACTGGTCTACCTTATGAGAGGAAAGCAAAACGTAAATGTGACTTAGGAAAACACTAATACAGGGATTAGAAACCAGATCACATGTTGTGGGAGGTAGATAGACCACCACGGATAGGACATTATTTGGTCCTAGATCCTAGATCTATGGATCTGGAGGCATTCTGCCATTTATGACAAACGAGAGTGTAATCTTTGCCAGTTGTGCTTTAATGTAAGATATGCATGCTTTCAATATGAAATACAATTTCGGGCACTGTGTGCCAAACAGTTGTACCTATCTGTAGAGGTTCCACAAAGACAGAGATATTTAAAAAGTTGTTCTTGGCTCACACAAAGCTACAGAAAGCCCAGAAAAAGGCCTTAAGTGATTACTGAATTTCAATTCTATGGCAGCCTGCCAGGCACAATTTTCAAATTTGGATTGTAAGTATAACTGGGCTGGGTATGAGGATTAGAGGTTTATGAACTTGAGTAAAGATTGCTGTCAAATACCCAATTTTTAAAAGGGCTGTAAAAAGGAAGCACGGAGTCACTTACTGGGATGTAGCTTGCATTGATATAGTCAGAGCATGGGTCATCATCTACATTTGAAAGTTTTACTCTCGTTGTGTCATCTGTGGAAGAGATTCATTGCAAAAACATTTTCACTATTGGTTCCCTTAATTTTAATAAATGCATAACAATGAATAAGTACTGACAGTCTAGGTGGGAATCTAAATATCCAATTGTATGTAGCAATGATGGTCCATATTTATTCAGTATGTTTCATCTAGGCATGCTAGAAATGGGGGCCTGGAATTTCTTAACTGGGAGACAAATCATGCTAATGGCTCTAAAGATTAAACAAAAAATGCATTAGATTATTATTATTATTTTAAAAATCCACAAAGTTTTCACCTCCCCAAAATCACTAGTGGCTGAGGTTCTGGTAAGTAACAAAAATGGTAAAACTCCATACAATATTGTGAGGATGAAAAAGCCTTTTTCTTTGTTTTTTGCTTCCAAGACTGCTCTAATGGATTTGCCCCATTATCAGAGCCCGGAATGAGGCTGGGTGCAAGCCAGAATTTGCAACATATGACAGCAACATGGAACTATGGAAAGTAATACCCAAGAGTGAAGAAGAAGAAGAAGAAGAGTTTGGATTTGATATCCTGCCTTTCACTCCCTTTAAGGAGTCTCAAAGCGGCTAACATTCTCCTTTCCCTTCCTCCCCCACAACAAACACTCTGTGAGGTGAGTGGGGCTGAGAGACTTCAAAGAAGTGTGACTGGCCCAAGGTCACCCAGCAGCTGCATGTGGAGGAGCGGAGACGCGAACCTGGTTCGCCAGATTACGAGACTACCACTCTTAACTACTACACCACACTGGCTCTCAAGTGAAAAGGACAATGGGTTAATTCGACATTATTTTGCATCCGAGCAATTTCCCTTCTGTGTTGACTGCACACCTGTGGTTCCCTATGAGGAATTAGCATGGGAGAGACTTGAGTGCCATTTGACTTGCAGGCGTAGTGAGCAAGCACAACTGGGATTTATAAACCCCAGTGGGCAGCAGCAGTTGGTGGGTGGTATAGGCAGGGAATAGCTGTGCATCTGGCTTCTGAATGGAGAGCGCTACTGCCGCTTACCAAGAGGAAGAGGGATGAGGCAGCAGGAGTGTTGAGTTGCCCACATTGCCACACCCACACTGGGCTCTCCATGCCTTGTCCCTCCCCCTCTTGGTAAGTGGCAGTGATACTGTTCATTCAGAAGCCAGTTGAACAATGCTGCCCTGCCCAACTGCTGCTAGCGGCAGATACCTAAACCCCAAATCTGTGCTATCATAGAAGGAATAGGCCCTCATTAGAAAGGATAGTTATTCTGTGCTATACTGCGATGTGTCCTGAAACTATAAGCATCTACGGCAGGCATCCCCAACCTTCGGCCCTCCAGATGTTTTGGACTACAATTCCCATCATCCCTGACTATTGGTCCTGTTAGCTAGGGATCATGGGAGTTGTAGGCCAAAACATCTGGAGGGCTGCAGGTTGGGGATGCCTGATCTACAGCATATTTTCTTCCAGTGTTTGCTCACCTCCACCACACAGAACTATCCTCTTCATCAGCGGTGGCCAACTCCCAAGAGACTGCGATCTACTCACAGAATTAAAAACTGGCAGTGATCTACCCGCTTTTGGGGGGTACAGGTTGTTGAGCTTTTTTTAGGAAGGAGGAAATTCAAGCCTAAGCTCAAGGGAGAAAGGGGAACAGCCACTCACCAACAGATCGCTGGGCAAACAAACAGCCTCAACTGAGTAAACTCTGTCTTCCATTCTGCAGATTGTGCAACAATGGAGGGCGGGGTGAGGGGGCGGGCTGGAGTCTATTTTACCTACACTAAGGAAAGGGTCCCAGCGATCGACTGCAATCTACCAAAAACCTTCCGGGGATCTACCAGTAGATCGTGATCGACCTGTTGGACATCCCTGCTCTTCATGGTTATTTAAGAATAACCATTTAGTATAATGGTCATTTAGGGGGGAAAGGATTCCTGGGCCTTTAATAGTTATGTAGAAGAAGGAATTTCAACATGAAAGTCACACCTGCAGAATTTTCCCCTATTACACAACAATTAAAGGTGGAGGAATCTTGTCCTCATTTTTATCTGGCTGCCCTCTCTTTTGGTGAAATATAGTAGCTGAAAACTTTCAGAAGCACGATGCAGAAATATGGGGTTGGAAATTAATTCTTACAGGCAAATATACTGGGAATTATTCCAACTGGCTGCAAAACCTCTGATTAGCTAAGGCAGGAATTGACAATATAGAAGAAATATACATATAGATTTTTAGATGTGTCATCAGGCTATTTCTTTTGTATCTTATATAATGGACAATTTTATAACAAAGCCAGAGAACCAGGATTCAGTGTTCCTTGGGTTTGTGCAAGAACATCTCCATGTGTTCTGGTGTTTTCTTTTTCCTGACTGCAGTTCCTCATACTACTGGATGGCTATACTGGATGGCTTTGGAGCAGCTTTCAGGTTCCAGATTTTGAGTTTCTTGGGACACTACTTTAGGTAGCAGAAGGTACAAGAGGGTGCAAGGAGGGGAGAAATGATGATGAGCTGATTCTTCCATGACTCCAAGATCAAGGAAGAGAGATGGAGGAGCGGTTAGCATATAGACATGCCCAGCTGTTGAGGTTTCACATTGCACAAAAGTCTTCTGGAGGCACAGCAGCAAATGAAAAATGTATTTCATTGCAGCCATAAAAATTGGTTGCATTCTTCATTGTCCTCTTATTACCTTTTAGCAAGCAAGTAATATGATAAGCTTGCCCGATTAGGATTTCCCACAAAACCTCTATTCCTGGACAGAGTGGAGACATATGACCATGTTTTTGTGGATTAAAATTAGATCTTCTGTCCCCAGTTCTTTTCTCAAACAAGTCTGCATTTATGGGACAGGACACTTGCTTGTGCGAAGCTGAGATGCGGACTTCACCATGGGGCCGAATTCTGTTACAACACTGTAGCCCAGATTTTTGTCTCCAAAGATTCATCATTGGATACATTGGGTACTACTTTTATTAATAGCTGAAAGAAAAACCCTCCCACATGAAATTATACTAAAAACGGAAATGTTGCTTGAGAAGTTTCTTAGCTTTGCGATATCTTCTCTCTGATCTCTTAAACTGACCCTTCAAAAAGATGTCATGGAAGGTTCGGTTGACGCCTTCACCAGTTAAGATGAGGGAGGCTGTTCTTCTTATCTTGGCTATTTGACTTGGGAGTCCTCACTGTCTCAGTAAATGTTCCCAAAACATGAGAGAGTATACTATGGAGATCCCGTTTTTATTGCTATTCTCTTCTCTACATGTTGCAGTAGAGTTCTTAGAGTTTGTAGATGAAAAAAATACATGCACTCTTTGAAAACGCATCCTACTTTCACTTGTTCTGTGTTCTAAAGTCATGGACCATTAATCTTTCTGTGGACTTTAAATTTATTCTGATAGATAAAAGAAAAATCTACTGCCTACCAAATCAGTAATGTTGGTTGAGTGATTTATGGACGTATTAGAACAGGTTTGGTTTCTGGTTTTTTTGAGAAAATACTAAACTCGGCTGTTTGTCTTTTGGCTGATCACATAAAACCAACCATGCATGCAAAGGTTGCTATTTATTGCTACATCTGCCTACCATCAACAGTGACAATTCAGCAAAATTGCTTTAACGGCTGAAGCCTTTCATAACCAAGATGAACATTATTAGTCACTGTACTTCGGGTGCAAAGTGAGAGAGTTCTCTCATTATGCGACCTGCAGTATGAATATCAAAGGGTTAAGACCCCTTGATGGGAGTGGTGCTTTTCTGCCAGGTAGAAGTACTGGGATGAAGGATATACCTATTTCCTGTCTCTCTTATTCTTGCTGAAAAGATGTAGGAAGAGAAAAAGAAAAGGCTTGCATCCAGCAGGAAACTTACAGGGCAATATATTATTGTATCGATTTTTCCCTCTGTTCTCTGGCAAAAGTGCTATGTCACACAATTGGTTTCGACCCACATCCTTTAGATCCTGTAAAATCCAAAAGAAAGAAAAGGGGAGATGAAAATGGTTAAATTATATTAATATATGGTCTCTATAGCACATCAGCTATCCAAGACTAAAGGATGGAAACAGATGTGTGATTGAATTCAAGCAGTTCTGGATTTGTGCCAAGTACCAAGTGGTTCAAGCCTTTGATCCTCACCTCTCCAAGGCATTTTCTAGTGCTAAGCTACTATACAATAGAGCCACTTCTCATCATGCCAGATGAATCTGTTGCTTAGAAACTTAGGAACTTGCTTAAATAAATGCAAATAATAAAGACTTTGGAGGCTGACATGCAATGTACTCGTATTGTCCATAGAGGATCAACCTGGAAATCACAAGAAAGGAATGTGATGTTCCACTCAGGTCCTGCTTGCAGGTGTCCTGCCGTCCCCCACCATAGGCAACTGGTTGGCCTCTGTGAGAACAGGATGCTGCACAAGATGGGCATGATCCAGGATGGCTCTTCTTAATTGGATTGACATGCCTGAGGGCAATGTACATAGATGGATGAGCTGCACTGCTCAGAGACCCAATGAATGCCAACCAAGAGTGGAAAAGCATCATATATACATACTGTTGGGTACTGCAAAGGAGAAACAGCAGAGAGGGAACAAACCAGGAGGAACAAATAGTGCACAGTAATATTCAGCAGCCACTTCAGGTCAAAATGCTGATATAAACAGTTTGTGTTAGTTGCTGAAAACTGTTGAGCAAGGACCTCAAAATGGCACCTGCATTTTTTAGCCTAGGCCCTAGAGCCCCATTCCACTGATTCCTCCCGCTGGCACCTGCTGCTATCTATGTCATGTCCCTTTCCATCTTGATTCCCAGTATACCTGGAGGAGCATCTCCACCCCCATCGTTCAGCCTGGACACTGAGGTCCAGTGCCAAGGGCCTTCTGGCGGTTCCCTCATTGCGAGAAGCAAAGCTACAGGGAACCAGGCAGTAGTGGCACCCGCCCTGTGGAACACCCTCCCATCAGATGTCAAAGAGAACTACCTGACATTTAGAAGACATCTGAAGGGAAGTTTTTAATGTGTGACATGTTAATGTATTTTTAATCTTTGTTGGAAGCCGCCCAGAGTGGCTGGAGAAACCCAGCCAGACGGGCGGGGTACAAATAAGAAATAATAATAATAATAATAATAATAATTATTATTATTATTCCAAAATAATGCAACCTTTTTTCCCTGTGTATGTCAACCGCCACTGATCCGGTCTCCTTTAAGATGACTGGTCTTGAGTCAATGCATTGTGAATGATAGCCAGATGTACCTAAACAGCCCATTCTTTTCACTCTGTTTGGTCCTTACCTCATATTCCTTTGACAGGAGGTAGTTTGAGTCTGCTTGGAGTTTGGTGAAGTGCATTTCAAACTGACTGACTTTTACTGGGCTAAAACATTCAAAGCAGGGTGCGGGGAGGGGCAAGGAGAGAAAGAAAACACCATATGTTAACACATTATTAAAACAAAGAGCCAGTATTTTCCAACGCAGTAGAAAGGATGACTTAGCATTGGCTCTTACCTGGACATTTTCCGGCTCCTTCAGGTTATTTGGAAAGAAAGAAAAAGAAAGAAAAGGTCAGATGGTGATTAGACAGACTGCATTGTCCAAGGATGCCAGGGAAGGAATTTGACCTTACCCTTTTTGTCCCAAGTTCAGGTGAACAGAGAGTGGTCTGTCCCTGCGAATGCTCATTCTCACTGTTGGTCTTTCATGGCCACTACTGCAACACAAGAAGTTGTCAAGTGTTTGTTATATACATCTAGAGCCCTAGTGAGGGAGATATGTTGTTTTGCCCTGCCAGGACAGCCACCTCCTGTGGCCAAAAGCAAATCATGTCTGTTACAAGAAGAATTCAAGACTGAATCATTGCAACATCACACCCCTCTATTTTTCTGTGTGACGCTGCTGCTTTGCACATGATGCATCTCCTCTTCAAAGCACAGTATCAGCATTAAGGCTGCAATCCTGCTCCTACTTACATTGACCAATAAATATTATAGCAAATCTATCTGCCATTCAAGATTCAAATACATACACACACACACACACACACACACACACAGCGCTTAGGACCTACTGAGGAATAGCTTCAAAAGGTGCAAATATAAAATCGTAGTTCTTGCATTTAAAGCACCTGTCATAAAGTGAAATTTACATTGCATGATGAATAAGTTTACATTTATTCTTTCTGGCGCTAGAAAGAAAGAAGCGTGAATTTCTACTCACTTTGCTTTTCGTCTGCAGACAAGCAATGCAGTGACAGCCACCAGCATAATTATTAGGAACAGACCAGCGCTCACCCCTTCGACAACTCCAAGTGAGGGCTCTGAAACAATTGTATACACGGATCAGAGTTTTAAAGTTAGAAGAAAGGTCATGATATAATAGTCTATGTCTACCTTTTGCTGTTTTCCAATACAATTCCTAACAAGGATCTGCACATGCAAACAGATGTGCGCACACACAATGGGACAGTTTGGACTGATTAGAATTATGTAACTGTTAGAACCACTGCCAGTTTGCTTATATTGTTGTTGTTTCAGTTTGCTGTTCCGGTGTTTAAAATTATGTATTTATCACATACAAATGTAAGAAAAGCCCTGCTGGATCTGCCCCAAAGGCCCATTTTGTCGAGCATCCTGCCCTTAAAGTGGCCAGCCAGAAAACTATGGGAAGTTTGCAGGCAGGACCCGCATACAACAACTCTCTCCCCTCCCCATGTGTTCCAGCAGCAGGCATTCAGAAGCATATTGTCTCCAACTGTAGAGGGAGAACATAGCTATCAGGGTTAAAAGGTAAAGGATAAAGGGACCCCTGACCATTAGGTCCAGTCACGACCGACACTGGGCCTGCGGCGCTCATCTCGCTTTACTGGCCGAGGGAGCCAGCGTACAGCTTCCGGGTCATGTGGCCAGCATGACTAAGCCGCTTCTGGCGAACCAGAGCAGCGCACGGAAACGCCGTTTACTTTCCCGCCAGAGCGGTACCTATTTATCTACTTGCACTTTGATGTGCTTTCAAACTGCTAGGTTGGCAGGAGCTGGGACCGAGCAACGGGAGCTCACCCCATCGCGGGGATTCGAACCGCTGACCTTCTGATCGGCAAGTCCTAGGCTCTGTGGTTTAACCCATAGCGCCTTAGCAATAGCTAAATCCTTCATGTTCAAAGGGTAGTATTCTGTCAGTTACCAAACGCTGAGGACAAACAGCAGAAGAGGGGTTGTTACTTTCATCTCCTGTTTTATCTCCCTACTTGTGATTCCAAGCCAATGGTAATTGCAGAGGCATACTGCCTCCAGCAGTGAACATAGCCAGCACAACATTTTTTAAATTTATAAACCAACCTGTGACTATTTGGTCAAACCACAAACTCCTGAATGAATGAGTAGCTAAAAAAATAAAAGTGTGTGTGTGTGAGGGGGGGATAACTGTGCTAAAAATAAACATTCTAGTGCTGAACCCATATTATTTCAGGTTTCAAAAGTACTGTAATTCTGAAATGCAGAAAATGCTTAAATAAAGAAGGAGCGAAGAAAAAGAAATCCCTAAAGCAGAACAATATAAAACTTTACGAGTCCCAGTCAGCTCTGGCTGAAATTAAACCATGCTTTTAGACTTGCAAAATTGTCTTCTGACAATGAATGTGGAGGCTTCCACATTCTCCACAACATCAGATGCTCTCCAGAGATTCATCAAAGGCGGCTTGCTACAGAGTCTCCAACTGAAGACGGCATGCACCATGTTGCTTACAGGTTCTCATTAAATAGCAGTGGCTGAATCAGCCTTCTAAATGGATGGATTTGACGAAAGTCACTTTTGGCCAAGATAGAGCTCTACAAGCCCCATCCTGCTGTCTTTTGTCTCCACTCAGGTTTTAGATATCCTGAAATGCTTCATAGGTAGCAAGGGAAACTAACCTGACTCGGTAACAATTGGCAAAGAGAAATAGGTATCAGAGAACAGGGGCTCAGGAAGTTCCTTCAGGTCTTCTTTGAAGAGTTGTGTGAAAGCCCGGATGCTGATCCTGGAAAGGAGGGGAATGGTTTTTAAAATTAGATTTCCCTGGGATGTATAATTTACAATGATAGTCCTAAACGGAAGGAAGCATTTGAATTGTTAAGGGTTATAGGAATACTGAATATTAAATCAGGGCTGGGGAACTTGTGGCTCTCCAGATGTTGATGGACTACAACACCCATGATCCTTGACCAAAAGCCACGTGGCTGGGACTGAGGCCAATGATATATGGAGGGCCAAAGGGCCCCAGTTCTGTATTAAAGGCTACACAAAGTAATAAGACATACAAAGCCAGGCATCTGATCTGTCACTACTTGTAATTTACTGGTAATTTCCATCTCCTACTGCTTTAGAGTGATGCAAAAGCCAGTCAGAAAACATCTGTAAGGTGCCCATATTGGGTCAAGGCCACAGCACTTGGAAGTGTGGGGACGGAGAAGAAGTTTTAATGCTTTCCATCCTCTCCTCTGTACTTTCCTTGACTTAAATTACCCCACATTCAAAGCTACTATTAGCTGCAGTGGTAGCATTGGGATACAGGGCCTGTATTGCAGCAAGAGGTCAGCAAAGCTGTTTTGGTTACTCTCAGTTTCTGATATTTCCAAGTCTAAATTAAGTTCTCCACATACCTACATCAGTTTGCACACATGCATGCATACGCACACTAAAAGTCCTAGTGGAAATTTATCAACATTTCAGTGTGAATTTCTCCTAATGCACACATTTTTGCAAAGCATTTCCCTGAATATAATGCATCTTTGTATGTAATTTCCACAAATATCTGTGTTTTTATGCCCTTTTTACCCTAAGACATTTTACATTTTATTTGACTGGAAAAGTGTGATTTTTGAAAAAAATGCTGCGTTTTGATTTTCATATTGTTTTGGAAAGTGTAGATTGGGGAAGATCGCCTCCAAATGAAAACTTCATCAAATTTCTCTTCCATTCCTAATTGTACCTACTTTCCTCTTATTCTACAGCCATTAGCAACTTCAGACTATGTGTGTGTGTATGATTTAAATAAGGGAAACTGTTAGAAAGAGTTAAGCCTGCTTTTCTAGCACTGTGAGCTTAATACAATCCCTCTGTGGTTTCTTTTTTGTAAATAAAAGGGCTTTGAGCAATCCAGTCATGGATCTTCTGAGTTCTCTGCAGTTTCGCTCCTAATAATTTAAGAAAGAAAGGAATGCAAAAACCTAGGATGCTTCTGACATTTTGCGCTTAACCCCTCCCCCACTTTTTCTTATGAATTCCTTGCACCTTAATCATACTGCTTGATCTCTATGCTGCATAGAGTGCTTCAGATAGTTTGCTAAATCACAATGTAGAACCTGGCCTTTGTCTTTGGATATGTTGATCACAAACTGCACAGGGCATTTCGTAATCCACAAATGCTCCCTGCTTGTTTTAGGGGATAGTCTTGCAAGCAAGCTGAAAAAGCCCTTTGAACATAGTCAGAGGAAATGCATTATAACGAAAGTTTTGCAATGACCTGTAAGAGAGTGGGAGACATGCTGGCCCATTTTGCACTGAGACTAATGCACACTTAAGAGATGAAAGAAACCACATATGATTAGTCTCACTACCCAGTGGGCAGTGTAGCTTATTTTGCTTTATCACTGTCAATTCTCAAAGTTGGCTACATAATACATTTGGAAAACTGGGCCCACCTTCTAAACAACTGGCACTCTGATTTTAAAGTTCTGCATTATGATGACTAATATTGTTTTGGCAGAGAGTTTGGTGCACTTATCCTAAATCCGTATTTGTTGGCACAGCAAACCTAAGTTCTGGGCTGTAACAGATTCTTCAATAGCCCCTTACTAATAGGTAGATCCTGGTTAGTAACTCCACACTCAATCAGAAAATGAAGAAAGAAAACATTGTGCATTTATACCTGTTTTTAAACTGGAACAATGGCAAAGTTATCCAACTGGTAATACTTTTATGAGATCATTTTTCTAGTCTGAGAATTCCAGAGAAAAACTTACCATAGACAGTAGTTTAAATAGGCTAGTAAAAACTCAGACCCTACAAGGTTGGAATTTTTTCTCACAAGTGAACAGGATTTATGATAGGGAGGGGGAAATGGAAAAATAACTTGATCATGATTTTTGCACCATTTGAGTTTGGCAACTGGTCTTACACTGACAAAAGAGTCTAGTATATTTTGCCCGCAATTTCAACAGTATCCATCATGTGTATGCTGGTATTTTAGCTGCACTGAACACTTTTATACTGCAAATGAGGACTAGGGACCATCCTAAGGTTTTCCGCTCAGGGATTAGCACGTTCACTGATCAGTGTAAAAAATGGCACGTTACAGAGTCCTCTATCTAACGCACTGCAGGATAGACAGACATGGGTGAAGGAAACGTTTAGACATTATCTATGAGACAGAGCAGGGCAAAGCTATTATAAATGGCACAGTAAAGCACAGATAACATCATGCAACAGAGGCTATTAATCTTCGGTAGTTCAAATGCTTCTAGAAAGCACAGTTCCAAATGACAAGCCACATTTTTTGTGGCATGATTACCGCACTAAATCTGACCTATAGGCAGTCCTGGGTTTTAGTGGCCCATCGCAATATTTCTGCTGATTTGGATCACACTTTCCTCCCAGATTTTCCATCTCTGCTCCAAGCTTAATATCAAAGCTCTTTGAAACGCTGTCAGGGCTTTCAGTGCATTTACTCGCAAAATAATCTGTTTGATAGATTTGGATGGAGTTGTTGTGTTTGTATTCCAAGTAAGAAGGCAAAGGGTGATGCTGTTCTGGCTTCCGTTCTTCACTGCCTAGAAAGGGGTGATTGGAAAAGTTAAAAAATGGAAGTTAAATACTGTGTTATTACTGCAGAACAAGGCTTGTGGGGATCAAGTTACAGACCTGTACATTACCAAGGACCCCAATACTTTTCTGTTTATCCATGATTATTGTATATTGAAATCACCCTTATGGTCATAATGGGATTTTACAATGATCAACCAGATTGTGGAAGACTATGGCAAAGGCACTATGTCAGTGCAGGCTATCTTGTATAGCCATGGAAACTTACCATCAGCTTCTCTCACAACCACGGTAAAGTATTTCACAGCTCCATTGGTGTCACTGAACCAGCTGCAATTGAAAGCGAAGTGGATGGAAGATTTGGTAATGACTGCATCCTTTTTGTTCACTCGAATATGTGCAGGTGGTGGTGGAGGGCCTAAATGATAGCAGTAGTTGTGTTATAAAAGCTGTATTTTGTCAATACGTACTAGGCACCTAAATGCAAACTTTTACCCAAGTGGAATCAAATATCCACTGAAATGCTCTTCCTAGCCACCAAAACATATCTTGTAGTTGAAGATTAGCAAGTAGAATGCAGCAATGTGTTAGGTTGCAGTGAGCTCCATTGCAGATTTTGGTAGTCTTTCTTCATCTCTTTACATCAGGGGTAGGAAACTGGATTCACCCACTGCAAGCCAAGTTTGTCAGGTGGGCAGGGCTGCTCAGTGTACAGCACTTTGCAAGACCCAACCATCAGCTGCGAATGCCTTTAGAATTCAAATTCTAATGACTCAACAGTGGTTTCAGGCTGCTCATCCCTTCTTTGATAATAGAACACTTAGCAATAAAAGTGCATTTATATTAAGGAAAGCTGCTGGTACATTAGTGAGATATACAAAATGTGTTCATTAGGAAAAAAATCAAACTAAAAGGTAAAGGATTTTCATCATGATTTTTCTTTAAAGAAACCCTTGCAAATTGCTGCAGAGAATGTAGAGAACCAAATTTAAGATGGGGAAAATGAGAAAAAGAGAACCGAAATTGGCAGGTCCTTCCATCCCTAGTGGAAATAAGGTAACACTTCACTGTATCTGTGCACATGCAACTCCTTCTTCACTTAATCCCCCCCCCCCCGCATATGTTTTAATAAACCAGATTTCTGGTGGGATAGGAGGAGTGGTACAATCCTGAGACATCACTAGGTCTACCCCAACACTCTCTGTATACAGATGGTGGCAGCAAGTGCTTGAGAAGTACATTCTCAGCATGAACTGGATTAAAACCAGAATGTACTTTAGATCAACCAACAATGTGGGACAGCACTGACACAGCGGCAATATGTGTACAGCAACCCTAAATACAACTGCATCCAGCACTGAATGCACACCATCAGACTGTGTGTGTACATGCCCAGAAACCAATGGTAGTCACCCGCCATTATGGCATCTTCTCCATTTTTTCTGAAGGGGAAATGATTGAACTGTTGAGGATTCACAGAAGCTATGCTTTCTTCCCTTAACATCTGGTACAATAAGCAAACATCAAGAGAAGGGAGAAAGGCTTGTGAGAATCTAGATTTCCTGTTTCATAACTGTAGGAAGGAAGATACACCTAGCTGTTTTGTTTGAAGGATGTAAAAGGGGGGGGGGAGGTGAAAGAAACAGTTTGCAAGTGGAAGGTAAACCAATAACTGAGTTTTGCTGGCATGTTAGAATATATAAACTGCTCATGACTCTTAAAAGTATGAGTCAAGCAAGCAAGTTTAGCAATTAAAAATAACATTCAGTGCTTTGAGAACTAGTGACAGCTATTACAACATGCACTGAATGCAGTGGAACAGATGTTCCACATTATGGCCACATGTCATTCATTTCAAAGTATTGCATCATGCATTGGAAGCCATTCCCCCCCCCACACACTTTTTGCTTTCCATTGCAATGTAGCCATCCATACAGTAAAAGGCTTACGGTCTATCATAGTGATGGTATTGTCTTCTACCACCTCACTGGTCATGTCGGCTGACTGCACTTTGATGGAAACCAAGTATCTTGTATGGGGCACGAGGGTCATGATGTTATACACAGATCTCTCCCTCTCTATTCTTCTGGAGAACTCAATCTCCGCAGTGTCCATTTTTTTGCACTCAATACTATATCCATCAAAATCAGAGTCAGGAGGGATCCAGGAGCAAGCAATGGCAGTCGAGTTCTGCGGTCGGCAATGCAAACTTTGTATCTTGTCTGGCCCTTTGAAGCAAAGCAGGAGCAGAATCAATAATGTGCATTGAGCTTACTTTATAGCACAAAGATGTATCTCACCATACGAAAGCTAAAATTAAATTAGGGAACAGCATGGTAATGTACTAATGCTAATGTTAATGCTACAGTTAATTAGATGGCAGCCACATTATTTAAGTTCCTTTGAACTCAACCTATTACTTTGCAAAATCATATTTATGTCTTATATCTGTTGTTATGAATCATTTATACAGCACTTTTAAAAATTGCTATGTCTTTACAGTGTTTGTCTTATTCACCCTCAAAATAATCCTGTAATAAAATTAGGTCACTGTTTTATTGCTGACTGAGATGAGAGATAGGAATTTCACTGCTATTTGTGTGTGTGCAATATTTATACCACACCCTCCCTATAAGAACCCAGGGGGGGTCATAGATATGCCTATCCCATTACAGTCTCACAACAGTCATGTGAGCTAAGTCCAAGGGCAAGGTTTGAAGACATATGGATACAGCAAACTTGATGAAGCTAAGCAGCTCAGGGTCTTCTCAGTATCTGGATGGGGACAGCACAGGAAACCAACAGGGTTGTCCTAAGACATTTTGCAGAATGGCATCCCCATCATTCCATGTACAATGGAGCCAACTAGACTGGCCATTAGACCTTATTTCAATTCTGGCAATGTTTACCACAGTGTTTCTCAACCTTTTCCCGACCTAGTTTCCTTCCTGTGACCCCCCCCCTTGTCCTACTAGGACAACCTGGTGCATGCATTTGATCAGTGAGAGCTCTGAGCTCTTCACCAGATGAGGATACAACAGAAATGTGAAACAGGTAAAGACATCAATCCCTGCACAAGCACTCATGAATCAGCTGGCGGTTGGGGTGGAGTACTGGGTCAAGACTAACATTAAGGTGGATCGCAACAGCAGTACCACAACTATACAAATATATGGTAACATAGTAAGAAGCAGGTCCCCAAATGGATGTTGGGGCTATGGATGTTGTTGACTACTGTGCTAATATAAATTAATATAATATAAATGAGCATTAACTAAAGCACTGGAGGTTAATACCAAACTTTTCATCAATGTCCCAATATGGTGTCTTACTTGTTCTCACGGTTCCAGAAAGTGATTTACTGTACGTTTTATGAATGATTCCACTAACGCTCCTAACACTGAAGTGATACAGTCTCCCTGGGTGGAGTCCATTTATTTTGCGTCCTTTTGATTTGCTACTACTGTAAGGATTGGAAACTGTGAGGGTCTCCCTTGGGGTCCATTGAAGTTCGAAGTCATCATAATCTGTCCAGTCAGGAGGGCCCAACCACATGATGGACAAGGAAGTGTTGGTGACATCAGCAAATGACACTGTGTTCGGAGGGATTGGCACTAAGAGAGAGAAAGCGTAAAATGGGAAAATAAATAATTACCTGGTACATTACTCTTGAATACGTAATACATAATAATTCCAAAAATTTTTAAGAAGGAAACCAACAAATAGATTTCTGTTTTGTTCAGGAGTTATGTATTTGGCCTTGTTCACATTTGGGTTGACTCTCATCCATGTTTCCTCCATTCAGATTTGACCTTATTAGTCCATAACTGTGTTCATTTGCAGCTGAAGATCAAATCCACTTGTTTCCATCCATACCTGGAGACATTCCCTTTTGTCTTTCTCCCTGCATTCAAATTTGCTGATTCAAATGTATTAATTTTGTGCAAACAGGGCAAGCATGCAGGAATCTTCTGAGCAGTGTGTACACCCTTTTTTAAAAAAAGGTATCCACCCAGGAATTGTCAGTAACACACACCAGGGAATTCCCAATTCTGTATATGTTTGCATGTACACATTTTATGTTCAATCCTAAAATGGCATGCATTTCCCATTCCAAAATAGGAATATGGTTGTGTGATAGAGCAATATATGGTGAAATCAATGGGGGGGTGGGAATGAAGCAGGGAGATCTGGAGAAACCATGGGTTTTTTGTTTTCCAGTATTGCACAAATATGTTTTCTTTTTCTTTTTAAGCTGCCTAAGGAGTTTGCAAGAAATAGGTACTACCACTGCCAGAACAGAGCTGATGTTAGGGAAGTGTAAGGTGTGTGGAAGGCGGGTTGCAAAATGGATTCTTGAGCCCCAGCAAAAAAGAGAGAGTCTCAAGTGGAGCTGCATTTTCAAATTTATCAAATTATCAATGGACTGGGGAAATTCAAATTTGCATGAGGAAACCAACAGGACAGGAGATGTTTGAGGGGGATATCATGTGGACAATGCTATTTAAATGGGACTTGAAATACACATTAAAGTCAGGCGTGGACAAGCCCTTTGTTTACTCCACCTTGACTGGAGACTCCTTTCATATTTCCAAAATCATCTACTGACAGCTGTAGGAATGCCTGCTGGGTGTGATGCACACTTCCGCCCACAGACAAGCCACAGCTGTCTGAACGCCATGTCCTCTATCTAACCTTTTGCTTTCTCAGTAGTCTGCCGTGTCCTGTCTGTGACCTTTGTCTCCTTCATTTAAACATTGTTCAAGGGGAAAGTGACGCGGTGGAAACAGGTGCCAAAATAACTTTTTACCACCCCACGATCTCGTGATTGGAAGATGTGTAAAGGGCACAGTCAAAAATGTATCTGACTGGTTTTGCATATTGTGCTAATAAAAAGAGCCTCTGCAAAGCTAGCCAGCAGCTTGCTTATGCACAGCTCACCTGCATCATCAAATCCTGTCTCGTCTCCTTCACATCAGACAGCAGGTTCACTGGAGAACATCCCAAAGTTTTCAACTAGCGGAACATGAAATATTGAGAGTGCTAAAGCCTGGGGGGCAGGGAATGCAAAAGTCAAATCCAAGGTGCACAGGTGAAATTGTTGGACTTAAGGCCAAAGCAGATCAATGATTGGATTTCCCAGTGTCTTTATTTTGCTACACCTGCTGATTAGAGCATTGAAGCAATCAATGATGGCAGCAACAATATAAACAAGACAAGGAACTGCTGTTCTTTACCTGTTCTGCCTTTAGTATCTGCTGTATTGGTCAGGTCACCACTATAGGTAACTACAACAAGGGTGTATATTCCGCCAGGGACTAAGCCCTGGAAGTGCCATTCTGTCAAGTCTTTTCCATACTGTGCTTCTTTCTGTGTGCCATTTGGGTTATAGAGATTCAGTTCATAGGAGTCAACGTCTCCTGCTGCTGGGTCCCAGGTAAACCACAGACTCTCTGTCATGTTTTTATTGAACCCTTTGAGATTGGTAACTGAGGCTGGAACTATGGGGGGGGGGAGGAAACAGTGGAGAGTCACTCTGCATGACAATTAGTTATGGTATCTATACAAGGACATAATAAAAATAGGTTAAATAATAATAATCCTAATGTCTCTAATTATTAAATGTTTTAATTAAAAACAACCCTGGCACTGAAAACTATTAAGTTCCTTTTGGTATTTTATACTTTGCATTCATATTATTCTTTTCGCTTTTTAGCTGCTTTTCTTTACAAAAGGTAATCCAAGGTGAAAGATTAAAACTAGCATAATAGCCCAAACAGAATAAAAACATGTTCATACATAGAAAAGGCAGGTCTAACACATCCCACCCACTAAACAAGGCCACAGATCTCTGAAACTCTCCCAAAGGTCTGGGTAAAAAGAATTTTTTTGCCTGGTGCTAAAAATAGATAGTGATGGCACCAGGTATACCTCCATGGGGAAAGCATTCTGTAAGCAAGGAGCTACCACTGAAAAACGACTGTCCCTGTGTTGTCACCCTCTGTCCCTCCCTTCCAGAAAACACACACAGAGAAGGGCCATGAATACCGAATGCAGGTTCCAGATTGGTTAATGTGGGGAGAGGCAGCCTTTGAGGTACTAGGGTCTTGAGCTGCAGAAGGCTTTATAGGTCAAAACAAGCACTTTTAATTGAAACTAATCAGTAGCCAGTGGAGTTATGCCCAAATTGGTTTTATATGCTCAGGTTGTCTTGCCTTGATCAGCAATCTGGCTGCTGAATTCTGTACCAGCTGTAGTTTCTAAACCGTCTTCGAAGGCAGCCCCTCCATGTACTTCCTGAAGGTTACCAGAACATAGACAACAGAAGTGAGGCTATCCTAGTCCAGAAAGGGGTGCAGCTGGGCCACCAGCTGAAGCTGATGGAAGGCACTCTGTGCCACTGAGCTCACTAGAGCCTCAAGCAACAGTCATGGATCCAGGAGTACCCTCCAAGCTATGTACCTGCTCTTTCAGAGGGAGTGTGACCCACCCAGAGCAGGCCTCATCCCTTCCATCTGGTCTAGGGAGCCACCCACCAATAATGCCTCAGTCTTGTCTGGATTAAGCTTCATTTTACTGGCTCTCATCTAGTCTCATCTACTCTCAAGGCCAGACATCAGTCTAGCACTTCCACTGTCACACCAGCAGATGTAAAGGAGAAGTAGAGCTGTGTGTCATCAGCATATTGCTGACAACAACTGAACTGGTTGCTCAGTTTGTGTACATCAAACACATGCCCAGTTAAGCTTTAAACAAATTGGGGTTTGCCAACATGAATTTGCATCTTTGATCTGTTCCCTTGAAGAAATTCGTTATTTGTTTTAGGATGCTTCTGAAAACCCTTCTATCAACTTCATAGGAAAGCAGTCTGGGTTTTATTTATTGGCAACTCCTCTAGCAATCCCTTCTTACAATTAAAGTAGCCCATTGAGGTTTTAAAAGTGTATCTCGCTGCTGATGGATCAGCTCATTAGATACTTTTACCTGTTCTCCCAAAGATGGATGATTCATTAGTAAGCTTGCCACTGTGAGTAACAATCACCATTTTGTACAACCTTCCTTGTACTAAGTTCTGGAAAGAATACTGCTTGAGATTCTGGTCTCCAGAAGTTCTGTCCTGGAGAGATTGGTCTGGATTATATAGAAAGATTTCATATTTGTCCAGCTCTCCCTGAGAAGTTGTCCAGCTAAACGACAGGCGCCCAGTGGTGGTATTTGTGACCTTCAGATTTGTGGCAGCTGCTGGAGCTGAAATAAGAGAAGATATTGCATCCAGTGTTGTAGCTTTTGGCAAGCAGTAAGAAATGGGCAGCAGAAATGTCCTTTGAACCTCAGAAACTATGTTTATACATGTTTCATGCCAATATTTTCCTTCTATGTAGATTAACCCTTTGCTATCATTAAACACGACACGTAGTTTAAGGGACATTCTCAGAATCGTGAGTAGATTGTTTTGCATTTATTAATTTATTTATTATCCTGCCTTTATTTGAATCAAAATCAAAGTAGTTAACAAACGCCAAAGAACGTGTAGTTAATGCAGTAATTTATTTAATAATTTTTGTGTTCGTGCAAAAATATTTGCTCAAGCCAAAATTAGTGCCAAAGAATTTTCATATGGTACTAAGATTACCCTTTTATCTGGGACAAAGTAAGCAAAATAGCAAGCAGAAGAAAATCATTTTCAGGCTGAATATACATTCTAGCCAATGTTGCTTTTATATATTTTTAAGCTGCATATTCTGGGAAAGTAAATGCTGATATAAGCATCATGTGGCCCAAATCTGTTTTGCTAGATTTATATTTAGTATCCTCACTATCAGTTGCCTCCATCTCTTGCTCAAGCAAAGTTCTCATTAATTTCAGCTGAACCTTCTGACTGAACGGGGACAATCCATTTTACAGGTAGCTGCAGATGGGCGGTACTGCAGGCCCATCTCCAAAAGCTTAAGGGAGGGATGATTTAAGGAGTTATATTATTTGTATATGTGCTGACATATTTAAAACCTATTTTGGTGCCTCAGCTAAAAAGAAAGTAATTAAAAACAATATTCATTCATAAATACAAATATTCACAATACACTTTCCAAGTTATTAAAAACGGAGCAGGTCTTCTGGAATATTCTACGTTTATAGCCTCAGTTATTTTGATGTCCCCTAATAAAAATGCTGGAATTACCTGTTCGGCCTTCAGTTTCTGCCCGACGGCTGAAGAGGCCACCGCTGACTGTCAATATTTGTACTTTATACTTCTTCCCTGGTGTTAAATCTTCAAATTTGTGTTGCTTAGCAGTAGCTGGCTCTGATTTGTTGCTCAGAGGGATGCCTTGCTCAGTCAGAAGCAGGATGTCGTAACGTTCAGCCACACCAGCAGCGCTTTGCCAGGTTACAACCAATGAGTAACTGCTGTATGCATTGTCTGCATGTAATTTCTGAACAGGAGCAGGGACTGGGAACAATGGTTTAAAAGGTGAGGCTCATTCATGCGTCTTGAAAATTATTAGCTAATTAGTTGTGAACGCACACATACACTACAGACACACACAAAATTGTTATCAAATTCAGTCAACCAGATCTCTTGTTCAGGCCAATCTGTGTCATCTTCCCATTTCCGTAGCACACAGAATATTTTGTTGTCTTTTGTATCCATCCTCATTAAAATTATATTTTGCAAGACAGAGCAGAGTGGGGGTGACATACATACCCATTCTGGGTCATTCATATTTATTCAGACCTGAGTTTAGCTAGATGCAAATAGTGCTCAAAAACTGATGTACTGTATATTATAAATGTCGGGCCTAATAATCTAGTAAAGTTTTTACTGATTTAATGATTGAGAAATTCAGTATAAATGTATTTACATTTTATAAAAAAAACACACCTCAATGGGGGAGGGTGCCTTTTTGAAGATCTTGAAGATGTGAAATCTTTTCTCTTTGAGATTCTGTAAATAATGTTTAGCATTCATTGGCCATATTCAGACAATCATATCAAGGTGTAATGAGCCAAGCTATGAACAAGCCTTTTCACAGCATTTATAACTATCATTTCCTTTTCTATTCAAACTGGGAACCGGAGGTTACCAGCTTTGAAACAGATCAGTATATTAACCCACAGTTTGACTTTGGTTTTAATATTCTGACTTGTGCTGGAGCAGGTAACTACGATTTTTAAAAAAATTGATGAGAATTTACCCATCACTTTTCTGAGATCATGAACTTACGAAAATAATGGATGAGATTCACCTAATGAACTGTGTCGGTGGAAGCCCTGCACAGCGGTGTCCACTTATGCAATGGGGTTTCCCACACCTCAAGAAACAGGCTCTGGAGAATCAAGAAAACCCCCAGAGAGCACACTGGGGGAGGGGATCGTTCTACCTGGCAATCTGATATGCTTGTGCAGATAGAATGTTTGTAATTGTGCACCGTTGAATTCCACTCAATGAATTTTAGCCTGTGAACCTAAAATTGCGACTGAGTTGCTCTCTTTCCCCTTCCCCATTCCTTTGTGCTGTTCAACAGGAAACTGAACGGTCTTCTTAATTATTTTGCCCTTCTTTGATTCAGGGAGAAACTTACTTGTTCGCCCAAAGGCTGTTGAGTTGTTGTGCAAGGTTCCGCTCCTTGTCTGTACAACAACCTTGTACAGCTCCCCTGCTTCCAGTTTGTTAAATGTGTGATCGTTCACATTTTTGGAAACGGTCTGGGTATCAAGGGGGTGGTTCTGATGGAATATTGTGACCGTGTAGGAATCCACATCTCCGCCTGCGTGGGTCCAAACCACTTTCAAGCTGTCTGTCATTCCGTTAGGTGAAATATGAATGTTTTTGACAGCGCTTGGAACTAGAAGAGGGGGAAATACCAACAAGAACGGCCAAAGAAGTCAATAAATATTTTCTTACCATGCCACTTATTTTGTTAAAAGTTGTGGTTAACAAAATTGTGAAAGCTAGATAATGACCAGACCACAAGACACGGAAGGCTTTTACCTTGTTATTTTTGTAACAGAGTATGAAAAGGTTGGCATTAAAGCAGGATGCAGGAATGGCACAGTCAAGTTGGAGAGGAATGACAGATCTCTGTCCATGAACCCACGGAAAGCACATGGTCATGACAAGTGGCATTTCAGGATGTGGTGGTAACAGGATGAGGGAAGTTTCCAAAATCCTGCACTTGACTGCACATATAGCCAGAGTCCTGTGCTGAGATGGCAATTAACATTTTGGGTGCTGCTGCGCACTGCTGTTCTGTGCTGCTGCTTTGTTACTGTGTCACTGGTGGTTTTATTTTACAATTTCAATGTAAATGCTACTTGTTTTCATTGCGGCACTCACTATGGGACCATTCAGCAAAAGTTCACTTAATATTATATAGTTACAATACAGAGAACAAGAAAGAGAGAGAAACACAGAGAGAAAGATACAAAGAGGCTGTCGAGAAGTGACGAGCTAAAAAGGCAGGTGTCAGAGGGAGAGAAAATAAATAATTTGAACTTGTTATATAATGGGCTGTATTATACATGGCAAAGGGAGACCTGAGTCTTTAAAAAACATGACTGGCCTAATAGCAGGAGGTAGCAGGTGAATGTAAAGTGATAAAAGGGACAGGCAGGTGAAAGTTGATGACCATTCCTGTCAGATGGTGGTGGTGGTTGCTCGTGAGTAACCAGGCAGGTCTCCGACCTGTCTTTTGCAGGTTTTATTGGTGCAAAACTATTTACAGTGCAGAACCACAGAGTTCATGTCTGTCTTAGTCACTTGCAGAATCCGGGAGTGGCCCCTTCCGGCTTCTCCCCCAACATAAGAACTTCTGCACCCCAAGCCTCTGCCTCCCTTCCTTGTGTTTTACCCCTCTGCGCAAGGTGGGCGACGGAAGAGGCGTGTTTCCTTCCTGGCCAGCCTGGCAGGGTGAGGTGCTGGGGCTCCCAGAAGCATCCTCTAGCCCTTTCCCCTCCTTTCCCCTGGAGGTGTGGCTTTCCCCACCCTCAGACTGACAAGGTGCAGCTTTGGGGCTCTCAGCAGCATCCTCTGGCCCTTTCCCTCTTCTCCACTGGAGGTGTGGCTTTCACCACCGCAGGAAGAGGAACTACTTCACAGGATTTTCGGAGGCTCCCTGTATCCCAACGGTCCCTCTGCCTCCCTCTCCTGTTCTGATGGCGGACCCCTGACAATTCCCATCTGCTAATAATTCTTCTACCCAACCTTCTTTCTCCCATGCAGGTTTGTTTCCAGCACTAGAGTTTGACTGAAGTAAAAATGAATTTAGGGGTTATAAGGTAAAGGTAAAGGGACCCCTGACCATTAGGTCCAGTTGTGGCTGACTCTGGGGTTGCGGCGCTCATCTCGCTTTATTGGCCCAGGGAGCCAGCGTACAGCTTCCGGGTCATGTGGCCAGCATGACTAAGCTGCTTTTGGCGAATCAGAGCAGCGCACGGAAACACCGTTTACCTTCCCACGGGAGTGGTACCTATTTACTTGTACTTTGATGTGCTTTCGAACTGCTAGGTTGGCAGGAGCAGGGACTGAGGAACGGGTGCTCACTCCGTCGCGGGGATTAGAACCGCCGACCTTCTGATCGGCAAGTCCTAGGCTCTGTGGTTTAACCCACAGCGCCACCCGTGTCCCATTTAGGGGTTATACAGTGATGGGAAAACAAGATGGCACAAAGTGAGTGAGTCAGTACTCCTTACTTGCTTGCCTCCTTTTCACTTTAAATCACCACTCCATCCCCAGTTTTACATGTGATTGAGGCAGAATAATGTTTAAAGACATAGGTCTACCTGTGTCTTGAGTGGTGAGAAATGGCACCTGTATTTTTCTGTCTGACCTATCAGTTTCTGAAAACTTTCAAAAAATCACATTGCAATGTACCAGCACGGACAGACTCAAAATCTGTTTGATATACACTTTTCCTAACCTGTCAGTCCTTGTATAAAAGTAGCTCGTTCTGCTTTTCCACTAATTGTGATAACAACAATTTTGTAAAGGCGTCCTGGAGTTAGAGATGTGAACCTGAATGCTTCAAAGGTGTTTTCAAGGTGATTGGGTGGGAAAACCTTCATGTCGTTGAACAGAAGCTGTATCTCATACTGATCAACATCACCATCAGCTTTGGACCAAGTAATATACAGCTCTTCAGTGCTTTTACCACTTAGAGTCAATTTCTTTACAGATTCTGGGACTGGGAAAGGAATGACAGGACATTGTCAGGCAGCAATAATGACTATTACTGAAAAAGAAATAAATTGACAACAAAGGTATATAAAGTGCCAATACATTGCTGAAAGCAATTATGTGTTGAGCATAAAAGTCTAGTTTGCGAAAAACAAAGGCACATATATATTTTGCATATGTATAATTTCTCATAGGCTCTCACAATTTTTGTAAATACATGTCTGCATGGTGACATATATTAATTTATTAATAATACAAACATATGATATAACAATTTGGAGAAAGCAAACCACATCAAACATTAAAGAATGGTTAATGACACTGATTTCAATAAGACACATTGGTGAAACCTGGGATAAACTACTACAATGTTGTAGGCCATGTTGAATTTTTTTTAACTTTCAAATTCCAAAAATGAGGGGGATTTGCTAAAAAGTGGGTACATGACTTGGGAATTCAAAAGATATTTCATTTAAATTAATATAATTTAGTTTTGCTTGGTAAATAAGGTGTGTGTAAAATTGCATAGAAATCATTAAAAATGATTGCCAAGTACTTGCAGTTATATTAATATATTATACATATTTTACGTTACCTGACATTTTCAGAAAGTAAAATTAAAAATTCTTCAGTTTTCTGAAAACAGCTTCTTTGTTTCTCAGTCAACATAGACTTACCAAGCTAAATGTTGTCCACTTACAAAAATAATAGCAGATTTGAATTCCCCACCCCGAAAAACATATTTTGAAGACCCCTCACTGAAGAAATTTGCAAAAACTAGAACGCTGGATATTTAACAATTAAATTGGACATTTTCAACATTGAGAAAATATTATTATTGTCCACCTGGAGCATTTATTTACCTGTCCTTCCACTGGCCCTTTCACTAGTCTCATATTTTCCACTCTTTGTGCTGACCGTGACACTATAAAGTCTTCCTGGAACCAAGTTAGTGAACACACTTTCATTTTTATCCTTGGGGACGGTTTTTGTTTGGATGAAGTCATTGTTGTGCTTGATGATCACTTCATAATTATCATAGTCTCCTGTGGCGTGTTGCCAAGACACCTTTAAATAGTCACTTCTTGCAGAATTGCTCACTGTAAGTCCCTGGACGCTTGATGGCACTGAAAAGATAGAACACACTCCAATGTGTCCTGATTTCAGAAATAATAAACGTGCAATGCAGACTGAGGCTAATTAGAGAAAGGAATTTGGAGTGTGTGTGTGTGTGTGTGTGTTGCGAGTGGAGAGAAGACAATGAAGCCCAGCCAGATCCAGCTGTTGTCATGCATAGTTAATGTGACTAGATGGGCCAAAATGTGGATGGAGATGTAAGTTCAGACCCCATCCAGATTCAACTGAAAGTAAGACGACAACATTAACATTTTTTGTCTACAATTCCTGAATCCCGATCTGGCAAGTGATATATGCCCAGGTCATCTTACCTGGACTAAGGTAGGCATGTTTTATTTCAGGGGTGGCAAACTTTGGCCCTCCACATGTTACTGAACTACAATGCTCATCATCCCTGACCACTGGGCCATGCTTGCTGCAGCTGATGGGAACTGTGGCTGAGTAACATCTGAAGGACAAAAGGTTCCCCACCCTTGTTTATTCGGACATGTGAAATCTGAGCAAAGAGACAAACTACCTCTGCCACGGATTCTCTCTCAGTCTCAGGTTTCCTGAGATATAAATGACCTTTAACAACAGATCTTTTGCAAGTAGATTTCAGGAGAAATAGACACCTGAGACTGCAATTGAGGTGTGACTCAGTGGGGCTTACTTCCCAGTAGACATGCATAGGATTGTACTGTTCATGTCCTTGTCCTAGGTATAAAATGCATTTCACTGGAAAATGTGCATGCAAATATTTTTAAGCTTTGACTGTCTATCCCCCCCCTTTTGTAAACTTTCCCTAGAATATAATTAAACATTCTTATGAAGAAGTCGTTTGAAATAATTTGACATGTTGCTTTTAAGATTAGGGGGACCAACATCTACAGCCGACATTGTTCCTCCGTTGTCATATCATCATTTCCCTCTTTTCCAATTTACCCCATGCTCCCTGCAGTTGTATAAATAAAAATATATATGCCTAGGAACAGTGCCATGGTTTCTCTGCGACTGCGAGTATATCGTATACCTCTTTCCTTCACCTTTTTACCTGTTCTTTCCTGACTGAAGGATTGCTTTTCATATTTTCCGCTCTTTGTAGTTATTGCCACATCATAGAGTCGCCCAGGAGTGAGGGTGTTGAAGGAACATTCATTGGCAGATTTTGCAATGGTGACAGTATGAACAGTCTGCCCTTTATGAGAGAGTGTTACCAAATAGCTGTCTACATCTCCAACAGCTGGCAGCCAGGAAATACTGAGGTAATCGCTCCGCCCTGAATTGTTCACTGTTACTCCGCTTACACTGGAAGGAACTGTACAACAAAGCATTAAAACAAACATGTGTTTTCAATGTATTTAGAGAAATGCCTCATGCTGTATATAACATAATTTTTTTCTTATAGTGGACCGAAACCTAATACAGTGGAATACAGTGGTACCTCGATTTAAGAGCAGCCCTGTTTATTAACTATTTGGTTTATGAACTCTTGGTTTGTGAACTTTACCTCGGTCTAAGAACGGAAGCCGAACAGTGGAAGGGCACCGCCGGTGGGAGGCCTCATTAGGGAAAGTGCGCCTCGGTTTAAGAATGGTTTCAGTTTAAGAACGGACTTCTGGAACGGATTACCGGTAAGTTCGTAAACCGAGGTACCACTGTACATATTTCCTGCAGGTGGCTATGATAAAGGCTAATATAATACTTTTATAACTTTTAAAACCACCGCTCATATGTGAGAAATAAACAGTTTGCATGCACACATGGTATAAGTGCTGTACACTGAGTCAGCAAATTCTTAAGAGCAATATGCAGATAAGTCACAGAACATAATCGAAACATCAAAGTCCCTGGAATTTTAGTTACAATTTTGAAGAGGGGGAAAAAGACCCAGAAGAATGCCAAACTCAACCAAAGAAATACAGCAAGCACCTGGAGTAACACAACTTACTAATTTCACAAGAGCTGCTGTACATTAAAACTGGTAAAAGCATCACAGCAGATAATTCTAAGAATTACATAGAAATATTGAGAGTTTCCCGCCCTCTAGTGGAAAGAATTATGAATAATTTTCTAAGAGGTGAAACAAAGTTTATGCAGGTCAGCCCTGTAGCCACCCTTTCTTGTTAGGACAACAAGTGGATACCAAAACGTGTTAAAGCAAACAAAATAGTTTATGCTATAACAAAGAAATTTTTAAAAAACTAGTGTGGCATTTGTTTTCTTGAAAATTCAGTTCTAATTTTGTATCACATCAGCAATTAAAAAACAACAACTTTAGAAACAGAGTATGTTACAATGCCATCACAGGCAAATATTTAAAGAGTGATGAAAATAATATGCATATCTTTTCCTTGTTGAAGTCAATGAGACCGAGTCCTTAACTTTGTGCAGTATTTGCTGCATAATAGGCTTCCTTTCAGAAACTTATAAAAATGCTTGATAAACATGAAATAAACTGGGTGCTATACAAAGGAACAAACTAAGCAACTGGAAACTAATTGTGGAAAGCATTTGGATTTTTTAAAAAACTGGTTGCTGGGTGGACTTATTTGCCCAGAAACTCTGAAAAGGTCTCATGCTGAGTTGCATACATTGGAAAAATCGGAAATTAGGCCTGAGTTACAGCCTAGGTGGCCAGCCAGTTAACTGTATTGGGCACATCACAGTTTCTCTTCTTCTAGGACTGTTTTCATTATTTCCCATTAAACCTCAAGAAAAAAGCTTCTATGATTGCGAGTATAGTGAGTGCTTTAAAAGGATAATTCCCCCCCCCCCAGGTCACTTTAAGATCTCTCGTTATTTCACCCTTTATCTATTGACACCCAATGCTGTTCTACGCATCATAATAACTGCAGAAGAAAGAAACTCTTTAATTCTTACAGCAGGCAAACAAACGTGCTTTATCGCTGTCTTTAAACAGCTGAAACTGAAAAGCAGAACAAAGGGAAGTCCAAGGGGTGGAGTTTAACTCCAAAGGCCTAACATTTAACACTTCAATGTTCATGTTATTATATACGCTGTTGTTCTCAGGGTCATTTCTTATAGGGTGACTGTGATCATGAAAAATCCACACTCAGTCAGGGAAAGTCTTCAGTCAGGACGGGGTGGGGAGGCTCTTCAAGGCTTTGTTGTCCTGTTCTCTGTCATTCTTTAATTGGAGACTGTCATGTTATAATTAAAAAATAAATAAAAAATCTGGGAGGGCAAGAAGCAGCATTTTGCCCCACCTTGGCTGCAGAGCTAAGCTAGATGCATTTAGTTGTCCCAAGAATTACCAGAAGTAATATATATATATATGGCCAAATCCCAATGGGACATATTCCCAACATATACAAAACACTCAACAAATAAACTCCACTCCTAAATGCTTCAGTTCTGCTACTGACAAACCTTTAGTTAAAAAAAAAATGTGTCTGTCATTTTTAAAAAATTCAGTTTTTTATCAGCTATGTTTTAAAAATCATCGTCATATTAACGGTCAGCCATGACACATTCTTGCGATACCTGCATTTTAGTGATGATACAGAAGGTCTTTGAACTATAGTCATTTACACACAAAAATGCATATATGGCTGGAACTGAGAAGCTCAAGACTAGAGAACCCATGATGCTGTGCAAGTGTGGATAAAGCACAATATACAAAGCACACAGACCCTTTTGCTGAATTGAACTATGAAACAACAGTGAAACACGGCTGCACATGGAGGAAAGCTGAAGCACTGAGTGATATATTTTCGTGGGATGGAAAATAGAACACTGCCTGTGATTTTCACATTTTTCTATCTCAACAAAGCTTTCATTTATTCCCCTTTACCTGTTCTCCCTTCTGCGATGGCTTGTCTTGAAGATACTCCTCCACTAACCGTGGTGACAACCACTGAGTAGAGCCCTCCAGGTTTTAGAGACTGGAAGTGGTATTTGTTGGTGTCGCTAGGAACACTTTCGTTTTTTATGACAACGTTTTCATGAATGAGTAACACTTGGTAAGAATCCACATCTCCTTGGGCCTTTATCCAGCTGGTGAATAGGCTGTTGCTTGTTCCTTGGTTTGCCACATTTAAACTTGTCACTTGTGCCGGAACTGCAATTCAAGGCCAGAATCGTGGTCAGTGAACAGATAAAAGATTATTTATCCTAAACAAACCCAACAACTCTAACAGCTGCAACAATACAGCTATGTATATTGATTAAAGCACCACAATTTCATTCACAATAGTTTTAAGTGTACACATCCCCTACTTTTTAAAAGGCATAGAATCATAGAACTGTAGAGTTGAAAGGGACCCCAGGGCTCATTCCTCATCTATGCAGGGATCTCAAGTTCCCGGAAAGCAATACATGATGCTTGCTGTTTAAGGAAAGCTCGAAGAAACATTATGCCAACCGTATGGTACCTGTGCGTCCCACAACAGAAGTCCTATTGCTCAGATCCCCACTTATGCTGGTGACTGTAGCCGTGTACTTCCGTCCAGGTAACAGGTCTGTGTAAGTGAATTCTTTGGCTTCTTTTGCAAGAGCCTTGTTTATGACCGTGAGGCTTCTGTCTCCCAGTGAAACCACATAACTATCCCACTCAGCCAGAGGCGTCACCCACATGATGGTGAGAGAGGATTCATTGGCGTGCTTTACACGGAGCTGGAGAACTGGCTGTGGAGCTGTGGGAAAGAGAAACAGGGGGTAAGGGGGGGAGGGAGAGAGAGAGGAATACTTAACACCAGATGAGCCACAGCAAGAGGGGATTTCACAACACTAAACAGTAAGGCTGGAGGGATCCGCCCGACAAAATATTAATACCATTACACATTTCAGCCATCATGCTAATGCTCAATGCTGAACTTGACTGCAAACAATGGGCTGAACCGTAGTAGTTACGATTTCTGTTACAGGAAAATATATACAATGGATTAAAGGTGACTAATCGTTACATATGTCCCAACAAACTGATGACAGTTGGTAACATTAGTTAGTAAACAGACATTGATTAAAGCAGCTGTGATACTATCTGTATTCTACTCAGCTTGATGTGTTTCCTCTAAAGGTTATTTTATTAATTATTATTATTATTATTATTATTATTATTTACATTTCCATTCCGCTTTATATTTTTAATAAAAAAATCTCAAAGCAGTTTACAACGCATGGAAACATCAAATAAATAAAAAAAATCCAAAATAAAAAATTACTGAAGAAAGTCAAATATAAAGCGTACATTCGAAGCAACATAATTAACTAAACTAAAAGATTATCTTAAAGATTCCAAAACAAATCATTACAAAGGAGGCCAACTACATTTAGTGCAGCAAAGTTAACAAACAAAAACACTGAGCATTTCAAAAAAAAAAAAAAATTGCTAAAGGAAGTCTGTTATAAAATGCACATTCAAAACAGCACAATTAACCAGAGAATAAAATAACATCTTAAGCACAGGGTTTGCGACTCATAATATCAACATGAGATGGGCACCAATTCTCACTGCTTCTGTAGGGTGGGAGCTGCCCCACAGCACCGCCAGACATGCCTAGCAAAAACTTTCAGGAAAGCTACACAGATGGGCCTCATCCATAAGTCAGAAGAGAAAAAGCAGCCATGCAGAAGCAATTTCAAGCAACCCCCACATCCTAGCCAAATGAATATAGGAAACAGCCATATGTTTATTAAGCCCAGTAATAGCTATTCTGACAGGTAATAGCTCTCAAAAATAAGTCTTTTAAATTACTTGCAACCTGATCCTTTTCAACAGGGGATGCCAAAAACTGAGGCTGGGAGTGGGATGAGACTTCTGCATGCAATTCCTCATTCTGGCACTGCCAGGGGTTGGACTAGATGATCATTGGGATCCCTTCCAATTCTATGATATGATCTACCACAGAGTTATGGCCCTTCCCCAGTGAGAAACACGCCATCATAACCATGCTTCAGCTCACAGCTTTCAAAACCTGCGTAGTTTACTATTTGCAGATTAGCAAGTTGCTTTTTTAAGGAGCTTTCCTTTCCTTTTTAAAGCACAATACCTTTATTAAAGGTAAAGGGGCCCCTGACCATTAGGTCCAGTCATGACTGACTCTGGGGTTGCGGTGCTCATCTCGCTTTATTGGCCGAGGGAGACGGCATACAGCTTCCGGGTCATGTGGCCAGCATGACTAAGCCGCTTCTGGCGAAACCAGAGCAGCGCACGGAAACGCTGTTTACCTTCCTGCCGGAGCGGTACCTATTTATCTACTTGCACTTTGACGTGCTTTCAAACTGCAGGAGCTGGGACCGAGCAATGGGAGCTCACCCCGTCGCGGGGATTCGAACTGCCAACCTTCTGATCGGCACGTCCTAGACTCTGTGGTTTAACCCACAGCGCCACCCGCGTCCCAATACCTTTGTTAGGTGAACCCAAATATCACAGTGTGCAAGCACTTGAGTTCTCCAGAAGGTTAGAAAGCCTGGCTTCATTTATCATCTAGCTTCATGAAGAGTTATGGAGAACTCAAAAGCTTGCATGCTATTTTGTGACTTTTTGGCAGGACTGATGAAAGTGACTGCCGTAATGCGGATTTTGGAAATTTTTTTATGGGCCAGTGTGGGTACCTTTACTTTTTGTGTTTCTTTTGGTTTTCTGTCTGCAAGTTACTATTCGAACAGGCTTTATTCTCTTGCTATTAAATGAAAACGCGTGTGTTAAGTATCAAAGATGACAATTAAGCTCCATCTGCTATTTAGCTATGCTATTAGGATTTAACAACGTAGCTCCTAATTTATGAAAGGCTTTAAACAGAGTACAATGTGTGTGGGAGGAACATTTGTTCAGCTATTCAACAAATGGAGTGTTCACTCATGAAAATTCACAATCTGTATGAAATCAGATTTTAAACTAAACTAAACTGAACAAATCAAAAGGTATGATCCAGTGATTTACAGAAATGTCTGGGAGTTTCTGTGAGATGCAGGATTCGGCATCTGCATCTAATTGGCTTCAGTTTCTTAAAACAGCACAGAACACTTTTTATCAACTGAGACTTGAACTCAAGAGCCTAATCTTATAGCTCTATTTAGTAACACCATTTTATTCATCTCCTATGTGGAATGACTAAAACAGACACGAGACACCATAAGTATTGTCTCTAAATGGGAACGTTATTGTTACCTAATAGCAGTTTCCCTCCACTAAGTTAAAAGGATTTGCTTCAGAATGACATCAAAAGGATGCTTGTTGAACTTTGCAAGATCACAAAATGACTATGAATAGCGCATTCCTACAATCCACAATAATCTGGCATTCTGTGGTTATGAAAAAAATATGGTGTCAAAGAGTCAAAAAGCGTGCAACGTCTAAAGAATCAAAAGGGAGGGTGTAGCAGGAAAAATAATCAACACGAGGTGTAAGATAAGGCACAGTTTCCCACCCAGATTTCTTATACACCCTTCTATCTATTGTTTTCCAGGCTACTCCCTTCCTTTTTGTAAATTTTGAATACTTGGCTTGCTGCACACAGCAATAGCTTATTTCAGGAGGAGGCAAATTCCATTTAATGGGCCAGTTATGGTTAGTCTCCAAGGCTTTTTTATGCAGTGCAGTTTCTTGTCAAAATGGTAAGAAAACCAGTTTTCAGTTCATTAATATTAATAATAATGACCGCACAGCAGGCAAGCATAAATGTATATACTATTAATACTTCTTCTGTTTGACTTTTATACAATGCCAACAATGTGGCAGTTTAGGGGAGGTTCTCATCATTCAGCACCTATTTGTTCTCTCTGTTTCTGTCAAATCAATTCACAGGAACTGATGTAGACACATAGGGTCCGCTTGCCACACACCCCAGCCCAGCCCGCCCGCCTTCCTCCCATTGTGACCCCAATAATCTGGTCCCTCCCAGTAAACCAGCTGCAGACAGCTTGCTCTGTTCTTGCCTGTGCAGTGCCCATTCCACTTTTCCTTATAACAATGCTTTTTCTTATAATTGAAGCCTCTCACGCCTGCCACCACTGCCATTGCCAGAGACTGCTGCCATTGGAAAAGTATCCAGCAGGTAGGCATTCCTGCAGTTGTGCAATCAAACCACAGACCATGGACCTACTAGCCATTTCCCCTCTGTCAAGAACAGTGCTTTACAGCAGCAGCAGCGGTTGTGTGAGACTTGGGGCGCTGCATCTAGGGAGGTGGAAAGACACAGGTTGCCTGTGAGTGGTAGGTAAAATGTAAAATGTAAAGGGCCCCTGGATGGTTAAGTCCAGTCAAAGGCTACTATGGGGTACGGCACTCAACTTGCTTTCCAGGCAAAGGGAGCCGGCGTTTATCCAGAGTTTTCCAGGTCATGTGGCCAGCATGACTAAACCGCTACTGGTGCACAGAGGACCATGACAGAAGCCAGAGTGCATGGAAACGCCGTTTACTTTCCCGCCACAGTGATACCTATTTATCTACTTGCACTGGTGTGCTTTTGAACTACAGTGGACCCTTGGGTAACGTAACTTTCGGGTTGCGAACGCAGCAAACCCGGAAGTGTATACTTCCGGGTTTTGCCCTGCGCGCATGCACAGAACCGCTCTGCACGCCACGTGCATGCACAGAAGCACTCTATCGTGCTGCACGCATGCACAGAAGTGGCACCTCATGTTGCAGACTTTTCAGGGTACGTAAGGACCCCCGGAATGAATTAAGCATTTGGTCCACTGTACTAGGTTGGCAGAGCAATGGGAGCTCACTCCGTTGCGCGGATTCGAACCGCCAGCCTTCCAATCAGCAAGCCCAAGAGCAAGAAACCAAAACCAACTTGGCAAAGTTTCTTTCAGTAGTCATATGAATCAAAGATCAACATACCCATGACTAAACAAATAATGCTTCAGTCTCCCTTCCCTGGGGGGTTGTCTATATGAGTCTGTATTTTATTCTTTATCTATGTTATGGGTTGTTGGACCATAATAAAGATTATTATTATTACTTGAAATATGGCCTTTTGTTTATTCAGGCCACATACCGTATATCCCATACATTTTAAGCAGTGTCATACCTCTTTAAACAGTCACTGCTTCCCCCAAAGAATCCTGGGAACTGTAGCTTGTTTAGTTGCTGAGAGTTGTAAGGAGACACCCTATTCCCCTGGCAGTGTTATAATTCCCAGTGTGGTTTAGCGATCAATGCATCTCCCCAGGAAAATTTGGGAACTGTAGCTCAGTGAGGGGAATAAGGGCATTCTAGGGACATGGGTGGCGCTGTGGGTTAAACCACAGAGCCTAGGACTTGCTGATCAGAAAGTCGGCGGTTCAAATCCCTGCGACGGGGTGAGCTCCTGTTGCACGGTCCCTGCTCCTGCCAACCTAGCAGTTCGAAAGCATGTCAAAGTGCAAGTAGATAAATAGGTACCGCTCCCGCGGGAAGGTAGACGCTGTTTCTGTGTGTTGCTCTGGTTCGCCAGAAGCAGCTTAGTCATGCTGGCCACATGACCCGGAAGCTGTACGCCGGCTCCCTGGGCCAATAAAGCGAGATTTGCACCGCAACCCCAGAGTCGACCACGACTGGACCTAATGGTCAGGGGTCCCTTTACCTTTACCTTTAAGAGCTCTTAGCACCCTTAACAAACCATAATTATTTGAGAGAAGCCATGGCAGTTACATGACATCCACTTAAAAGATGTCACATAACAGCTAATGCAAAAGATTTCAGTCTGAGTAAACAATAGGCTGCTTATTATAAACGTGAAAAACTATACCTATCGCAATAAGGACAGTGAAAATAAAAATAAAATGTTTAAACCACCTTCTCGTGATGATCTCTACAGATACACTTAATGCTCATTGAATCTGCTCATGCAAACACAGCCAACGTTAGAATAGCATTATAAATCCACACATAAGCATTTTGCGAAGGCAAATGCATCCCATAATAGACTACATCTAATCACCCGCAAGCAATCTCTCTGTCAGTTTTCAGAGTTTCTTTCTGACTACGATAAAAAAAGTTTGCTTACCTGTTCTGCCTTTGCAGCGTGCTGTGTTCTTCAAGCCTCCACTTACAACAGTAACTTCCACCTCATACTGTCTTCCTGGAATAAGCCCTAAACCAGTGATAATATATTCCCTTTGGTCTTTCTCCACTGTAGTATTCAGCAGCACCGTAGCATGGTCAAACAGCACAATACAGTACTTCTCCCAGTCTCCAGTAGGGGGCAACCAGTTCACTTTCAGAGCTCTTAACGAGCCCATGCTGTCGGCTTTCAGCTCTGAAACTTTCTGGGGAACTGAAACATATAATTTCAACAACTTGAAACAGAAGACTGTGTTCTATCATGGAAGAGGTCATTGGTTCACAAGTGTACTTCAGTTAACAACCTTCTAGTCAACAGCTTCCCATATTTGTTCTCAAAATGACTAGGCAATACTGGAAGCATGAATTTAACATTACTTTTCAATGCCCAATGAAAGAACAGTATATGGTTCTGTTTCCTGTATCAGGCCAGCAATGGAGGACAATTGTAAGGGAGAAATGGTAGGTGGATGGGAATGCTTTTTTTATCCAGCTAGACTCTGAAACTAGAAGTGACCAGAGTGGGATGAAGAATGGCTGATAGGTAGGGTATCTGAACAGTGAACTGTTGGGTGTGGGGCACATTTAAGCATCCCTCTTGACAGCAGTTCTGTCCTGCAAGTACCCAACCCCACAGTCCAGACTGTCTCATCAAATGCAGGCCAGAGGACCATGTGCTTTCTGAGATAATATCAAGATCTGTCCTGATCTTCCTTCAGAGGATATAACACGGATTTGCAAAAAGAAGGCTGCTGCAGTTAGACCGGTCAGTAGAAAGAACTGCAAGTGGGTACCATGTTTTTGTATTCTACTGAAACCAAAATCTTGTCTTTCCCCATAATATCTCCTGTATGGAAGGTAATAGGTGGAAAACGTGAAAGTGTTTCTGATTAGAAAATTGTAGAAACGTACCTGTCCTGCCATATGCTGTCGCTTCAGTGAACAATTCACCACTGACTGTGTTGACATCAACTTGATAAAGACGTCCCGGTACTAGTTTGTTGAAGTATGTCCCTGTGACATGTGACTCTAAAGACTTCCTTTCTTTAACAGATCCAAGATGAAACAAGGTGACATTGTAGAAATCAAGGTTTCCTGGAGGCCCCTTCCACGTCACTTTTAGGGTATCCAAGCTGCCGTCATTAGTCACCACCAAATCTAAAACTTTGGCTGGAACTATTTTTTTTTAAAAAAAGAGTAAGAAATTTATCAGCTGTGTAGACTTCAGAACTGTATGTAATACTGGAAACTAGGATACTGCACAGAACAGTAATAGATACTATGGCTGAGTACAAAAATGTTTCTCAAAATTTGGGAAATGATACCCTTTTAAGTGATTATTCACAAATCATTCATAAAGGGCTGCAATGGTGTTGACATGGGTGACCTTTAGAGGCAGCAATGCCTTCACTAAATGGGCTTAATTTCTCCTTAGTGAAATCAGCAAATAGCCAAATCTGACAGCCAAATCTGACTGTAACATCATCACATCTAGTACACAATCCCTATTTGTCTAGGAACACTTGTGGAAGGACAGAAGTGAGGAAAATAGTAGCAGTGAAGAGGAAAAATAGTGGCTGCCATCTAGCAATCAGCCTTGGAAATTGCACGATTAAATGGGTTTGGCAGGGTTTATCTTCTCTGTGTAACCAGGGGTGGGAACCAGATTCAGCCATTGAGCTGGGTCCCAAATTTCCCAACCCCACAGACTATCAACCACCATGTATTACGTGACATTAGGTGATTTGACTTCAACATTCTGTCTTAGAGAAAATCCCCAATTACAGAGAATCCATAGAGTTGGAAGGGGTCCTAAGGATCATCTAGTCCAAACTCCTGCAACACAGGAATATGTAGCTGTCCCTTATGAGGATCGAACTTGCAACCTTGGCATTATTAGTACCAAATTCTAACCAACTGAGCTATACAGCTTATAATGGCATAAGATTGCTAACATACCTCCCTTCATCCAAGGATCAAAGGGTGGTTTACAGTTTAATTAGAATTCTTTGTCGCTCTGACAAAGGACATTTTGCGAAATGGCCCTACCACAGTGCTAGAGCATCTGCTTTGAACACAGATGGCCCCAGGTTCAATATGGTGTCACTGAGTCTACAGCAGGGATGGACAACATGTGGTTTGGGGACTCCAGTGGTTTTGGGACTCTAATTCCCATTAGCTTCAATCAGCATGGCCAAGATTCAGAGTTAATGGGAACTGCAATGCAACACCATCGGGAAAGCCACAGAATTTTGAGCAACCATATTTAACTGCTTTTGAACCTGGCTTTTTGACTACTATCTAATATTTTCTTTAAGGCAACAGTGCTTACACAAAACATCCAAGTGAAACGGTCAATGCACAGAAAGTCTAAAATATAAATGATGAATAGAGTTACCTTAATTCAGAGTCTAAATGAATAAAGCGAATGTTCAGAAATACCTAAAATGTGCCAACTGCTGACTTTATTATATTCAGTTGCTCTGATCCATAATTGGCTGCTGTGGGTTGGATCTCTGATGTGTGCTCCTTGGATTACTCCAAGGGGAATGCTTGGAGCTACTTCCATTACTGATGCGAGAGGGACAACCCATATATGCTGGTTACTCTTATGCACTCAGATTTACACACGAGACTCTGAATTACACAAATCTAAAGATCTCAAGCAACTTGAGACTGCAGCCTTCACATTTCCCAAAAAAATCTGCAGGCACTCCTTACAATTTCATGCTCTGAAGTCAATCTATAGGGACATTTATATGAACAAATCTTTCAAATGTCGACTGCGATCCTCGCAGGAGGCCAAGTTGTTAGATTTCTATTGAAAAATGTATTGGTAGTTTTATCCTCACACTCTGTTCTCTTATTCAAGGAAAGATCTGTAAAACCTTACCAGTCCTAATTAGTCTAAAATTGTAGTTCTCCAGACCTGCAGCTTTGGAAATGACAGTGAGATTATACAGACGTCCTGGTGTTAGTCCTGAAAAATTGTATGCCAAATAGTGTTTCTCTAGATCCGTTTGTTGAACTGGACCATCTTTATCCAGCAAAACCAGCCCGTATTGATCCACATGCCCAGCACCTGGCAACCACGAAACATGGATTGTTTCAGCCTTGACTAAGACCTGGATATTTTCTACTGGAGAAGGTGCTGTTAAGAGAGAAGGAGTGGGGAGGGAGAAAAATGGTTTATATACAAACAAAATTGTACGGCTGTTAAAATATTTAGGATTTGCAACACAAATGTCCTTAAAATATACTGCATATTTTACAAAACAAAGTCTGTTATGTTTCACTCAAAATATTTATTTATGCTTAGAAGAGAAATCAAAATGGCTGCAATTAAAACAGAAAGCCATCCTAATGCTACTCTGATGCAATACCTGTTTAAATGGCTAGATGGGATTATGGATATCACTTGGCTGATTTTCAGTAACTAACCCGTTGTCATCTTTTTAATGCTTATTTCTTGTTTGATACTATGTTTTCCCCATAGCCTTTTAAGGGATATGAGAAATGCAAGTGGAATAATATTATTGTAAAGGTAAAGGTAAAGAGACCCCTGACCATTAGGTCCAGTCGTGACCGACTCTGGGGTTGCGGCGCTCATCTCACTTTATTGGCCGAGGGAGCCGGGGTACAGCTTCCAGGTCATGTGGCCAGCATGACTAAGCCGCTTCTGGCGAACCAGAGCAGCGCACGGAAATGCCGTTTACCTTCCTGCAGGAGCGGTACCTATTTATCTACTTGCACTTTGACGTGCTTTCGAACTGCTAGGTGGGCAGGAGCAGGGACCGAGCAACAGGAGCTCACCCCGCCACGGGGATTCAAACTGCCAGCCTTCTGATCAGCAAGTCCTAGGCTCTGTAGTTTAACACCCAGCGCCACCCGCATCCAATATTATTGTAGGATTAGTCAAAGAAAGATATCTTACCAGTAGAACCACTGGTGTTAGTTGAAGGGCTCTTTTTACTTCCAGCAGCTGCACTGATCGATATAGTGTATCTGCTTCCAGGGGTGAGATTGGCAAATGTCTGTTCATTTCTTGAAAGGCCTCCAGGAACTTGGACCTCATGGGCTTTGTTGGTGTTACTCTCAAGTAACTGCAGCTCATACCAGTCTACTTTTCCTAAGGATGGGCTCCACCACACCTGCAAGGTTGTGGTTGTAATTCCTTCTTTTTTAATTTCAAATCTCGCAGGTGGCAAGGGGTCTGCATTCCAGAAAACAAACAAACACGTAATAAACCCTAATGCAGTGCACACAAATTCACTTAATCCTTTAACAAGTATGAAAATAAAAGTTCTCCACAGCAGTCACTGGGAAGGTGAGCTGAGGTCAACAACATGCCAAGGAAAAGAGCAGAAAGGAGCTCTTCAGCATGTAAGTGGTGTTTGGAGAACGGGAGAGGAACTGATGATACCTCAAAGTGGAAAAGGCTAAAGCAAGCACTCTGAGGACAAGGATGGAGGAGGGAGATATTTGACTGAGAGTGATCACAGTTTAGATGGGAGGGGCATGGTGGGTGACGACACAGGTGATGATGACAGAGTAGTGCACAATGCTGCCTCACTAGCCTCTGTTGGGAGCAGGGCCAAAGGCAGCCCAGGTTGAAGTGGTTCACAATTCTCTTGCATCGATTTTGGTGTGGTAGCACAAATCCCTAAGGCAATCATGCCATGTAGGCATGTTGCTTCTCACCTGGATGGCACCCAAAAAAAATGACTGAGTGATCTTCAGAGAATGCTCTCCTTCATACCAGAATAGGTGCCACAGTCAAAAGGAGCACAAGAAAGACAGCACCACCGTGGAAAATAACGGGATGATTATGCAATGGCAATAGGGACACTCTCGCATTTTGCTTTCTCAGAAGTAATATAAGGGTCAGAAGCTGTGTGTTGATCACTTCCACACTGCTTTTGGCCAGTGGCCTTGAGCACTGGAGAGATTTGTGTATTGCTTCTAATGTAGATGCCCCATTATCCATCTCAGTAGCTCATGGGCTGGGGCTTGCAAGAACAAACCATCTTCTCATCTGACAGGTGTGCTGCCTTCATCAATCTAGGCTACCAACTGGCCATTCCTGTATCATGCCATCTGTAATCCACCTGGTTACACTGCCTTTTCCCTCAGATTTGTACCTAGCAGCCATCACTCATTTTTTCATAACTTCACGACTAGACTACTGCAATTTACTCTACAAAATACTGCCCTTGATAGCGTTTTTTGGAAGCTGCAGCTGATACTGAACACTGCAGCTGCCTTCTGACAGAGGTTGGTCATTAGAAGCATGTGCCATTGGTGCTCTGATAATGGAAATTCAAGGTTCTGCCTATGTGATTTACAAAGTGCTAAAAATGTTTCTGGATTTTGGATAGTAGAAGAATATGATGGTATAAGGGCTGAGGTTTAACACCTGGTAGGGTTTTATGTATTTACCAGATTGTTACTGCCCTGAACTGTGGGATGGAGAATGCTTCAAGTCATCCAGTCCCTTTTAAAGACCTGCATTGATTTCTGCGGAAGAATTAAGCAAATACAACTTTCTCAGGGTGCTTAAGTCTAGTTGGGGTTGCCCCTTAAATTAAAAATTTACACAAATGAGGAAAGACGTGGAGGTGGGATACAACTTCTAAAGCAAATTTTAAAAGGTTGCGTGCCTAGAAGGCGAAGTTCAGAAATTCAGACTTTATCTAATCTATCTAGCCCAGAACACAAAACACTCAGTCCTCTGTACATCCGTTATAACAAAGGAACAATGAGCTTGGGAAGTGCCTGGCCTGAAAAGCCCTGGCTGGAAACAAACACTTAAAAAACCATTTACATTGTTATAAAGTTCTTGACTGGCAGCTGTCCAATACTGATATATCATAGAAATAAGATATTTCTAAGAAGACATTTTTGCGGGACTCTTATCGAACACCAGCTACACAATTTGACATTTAAATAAGAAATCAATTATGCTGAAACTTTGAAAAGTTGTGCTTTTTGTAAAGATTCCAAATAAGAAGCCAATTGCAACCAGTTATTATTATTTCAGTTTCTATCCTGCTTCCTAGCAAAGTATTGCAAGTGGCTTCAATAGGAGGAGTCAGTATTTTACCTTCCACATCAATTTATTGTTGCCAAATCAAATTAATGTATTGACAAAAAGCTAGTGCTCTTACAGAGAAGCTGGATGTCTATCTATCTCAAATTTTGAAAAATATGAACCTTGTTCTCATATAAAAATGCTTTTACTTTATTAAGTTATGTCCTGCAGTACAATAATGTCTTGGAGTATTTCATTTGCAGAGCAATCTTATGCTTGACTACTCAGAAGTAAGTCCTACAGAGTCCAATGGGGGCTTACTCCCAAGTAATGGGTACCTAGGAGTAAATCCCATAGAACACAATGGCACATGTTTCTGAGTACACATGTATAGGATTGTACTATTACTCTTTTAAACATCCAAGTTGAAAAGGCATTTTAGAGTATTGTGCACAGGAACAGATTATATTGCACAATTGATTATACTGTATCTAAAGGGGATGAAGACTTCTTAGCTATATATATTTAATATGACATGTCTATCTTAGGTTTAACAATTTCATTGGTCTGCTCTGAGGACTAAGGCGAATACAACCCACTGCCTTTCTACAGTACACAATTTCCAAAAAGCATGGATATATGTTGCAAATGATATTTACAAACCAAATACGAAATGTTTTTATTTGCATAACATTTCACTTGCTGTGGAAAATAATGCTCTGTAGTCTGTTTCTACCTTGAGAACTTGTCCTATCAGTAATATGATATTGCAAGCTACACCCTAATCATTATAGTGGAAGCTTTGCTGGGCTGTGTGAAATTACATTAATAATGTATCTGTTAGTTTGAGGTGTAAGTAGGTAAGGAAATGTGTCCTGAGACAATAACTAAGAATCATCACTTTGGATTATTCTGCTGCCATCAATTTCAAATACAAACTACAATGCACTTTAAAACTGTGCATCTAGGACTGCATCTGATAACATATCACAGAATATTGCAAATGCTCTGTGATGATTGATGTTAAAAACTAAGAGCATTTGCAGGTCCTTTAAATATATATAGGACCGAGTATGTTTCCTTGGAAAGCTATCATAATCACTTTCTCTTTAACTCTTAAAGCTGCAATCCTGCGTTCCACATTTACTAGGGAGTAAGTCCCACTTAACTCAACAGGACTTACTTTTGAGTGACTTTTGAGTGGACATACTTTTGAGTGACTATTCATGACTAATCTCACCTATGTACCTGTAAGAACCACCATCTATATTTTTTCAGTGTTATTCTAACTGCATTATTTGAGAAAAGAAAGTCACTTAGATAGTTACCATCAAATATCACTCAACTATCCTAGGTAAAATCTGTATACAGCCACTAAACAACTAAAGGCAGGAAAGATGCCCAGCAGTGCAAAATGGGTTACTTCCAGGTAAGGGAGCATAGGATTGCAGCCTAAATTGGGACAAAATTACTAAAGTGAGCTTACTAAAAAATCATGACTAATATAAACAGAAACTCAAAATATAAGCCCAGTTGTAAAGTACAATATATATGCTTGGATTTCTTTTTCTTTTTTAGATTTCAAGCCACTTCTTTTAATGAGTTCCAGATCATTGCTCACCTTGAAAGTCAAATCAGTTATTAAGCTTAACTAAGAGAGATTGTTTTTAGGAACTAGAATAAAGTTCTAGCAAGTGGGTGGGTGTGGATTAATAATGTACCCACTGACCTACATTTGGAATATATTGAAAAGTGTTTGGAATGACTTGTGCTATCCCTTCATAATCTCCATTTCACAAGTTCAGGTTGAGCATCACAGAGACAACAGGGCAATGACAGATCTTCCCTCTATGCCAAAACTCCCCTCGAAGGGCTCGTCAAACCTGCACCTGTCACCCATACCTGTTTGCAATGTGATATTGCTGGTTTCTCCATCAGACAGAGAGACAATCCTGATATGGTACCAAGTCCCTGCTTCTAAGCCGTTGTAGTCACATTCATAGGAACCGTTGACTTTCTGGATGGGCTGGCAAACCCTGTACAAGGCATTGCGGGAGTTGCAGGTGACGCTGAAGTTACATGGATATCCCAAACTGTCCCACCTGAGATGGACAGACTGGCTGGAGACCTTCCACTCTGTCTGGTTGATGGTGCATTTTACTGGAGCTCCTAGACCACTCTGGAGAAGGATCAGAAACAGCACACAGTGATTATCTCATCCAAGAGCAAATGATTTCTTCTATGGTTACCTGAGGCAATCGTTCTAAATTTCAGACTGTTGCGCTTTAATCTTAAACATACTGACATGGAACAAGTCCCTCAGTTTGGATGGAAATGACTTCCATATATGTATGCATGTAAAATCACACACACACACGCCTTGCACTCTGTACATGGAATACCCAACACCTGTAGACACAAACCCCAGTCGCAGAACACACTTTGCCCATTCTCCTCTTTGAATAGGTGTGTGCGGGTCATGGGTGTGAAAGGATGGTAATTCATGTGCAAGATGATGAACTCTTTTTGAATACCCAGAACTGCATCAGTAGTGGTTAACTTCTGTGCAGCCAACTTGGAGAAGTATCATTATGTGGGGTGGGGGTTGGGGGGAGAAGAGAACGCAGGAGAGAACTGCCATCCTGGATGGGATCCTGTTTGATAAGCTGGCGCTGAAAGCAAAGGTAAGTTAGAGGCTGATCTGACAGGTAGCACTGGAGGAGGCCGGCTGCGTTTGCCAGGAGGGAGAATCGTAGAAGGGACCCCGAGGGTCATCTAGTCCAACCCCCTGCAATGCATGAATCTTTTGGATCTCGACATTCAGAGTCTCATGCTCTATCCCGGCTTGTCTCCAGCTTCGGCTCCTGCCTTGCAAGTCCCCCCCCCCTCCCTCCCCATCCTCTTCCTTTGCGCGTGGCTGCCACCCACCTTGAGAAGGGCCAGCGCGAGAATCCACAAGGAGACTCCCGCTCCGCATCTCAGCCTTGCCATCCGCTTGGATCTGCAAGGCAGCCTGCAGGTGGTGGGGGCGAGGAGGCGCCTTTGGCCCCGCCGGCGGCTTCCTCAGCTCCCTCCCCTGCTCGCCCGCCCGCCCGCCCGCCCGCGGAGCCGAGGGTAGCAGCCCGCGGCCGCCCTCTGCTGGCCAGCTCGACCTCGGCAGGCAGGCCGGCCGGCCCTCACGACGCTCCTCGAGGAAGTTTCCTTCGCGCCGGCCGAGCGCACGGGCCGCTGCCCAAGGCGGGCAGGCGCGGTGGGAAGGCGCGGCGGGAGACGGCTGCCCGCCGCTCTCTCCGCGCGACCATGGCCAGGCGCTTCGGTGGCCGCTTGCTCCTCTCTGCCCCTCGCAGAGCCAATGTCCGAGGCGGCACACACACGAGAGAGAGAGAGCCCTCTGCCTCAGCCAGCAGCTCTTTGCCGCCTTTCCCTTTGCTCCTCTCCTCACAGCGCCTTGGCGCGCGCGCTCTCCCTCTCCATCATGCCCTCTCCGCGTTTCTCTCTTCCTCCGCCGCACCCTGCTCCTCTTCCTTCCTCCTCCTCCCCTCGCTCGCCTCGGACCTTCTTTTCCCAGGGCTATTTCTGACACTGGAGATGGTTTCCTTCAGGCGTTTCTCCTCCCCCTGGAATGTCCTCTCTAAACCTCCTCAGTTCACACTTGCCCCTCAGTGGTCGCTTGCCTTCCTCTCCTCTCCCCTCAGGGGATTTCCCCCAACTCCCGGATCCAAAGCTTGTTTGGACCACCACCACCACCACAAAAAGAGGCAGCCATTGCTTTCACTCGCTTCAGCCATGGGGTCGTGAGGTGGAGTGGGTAGAGCCAAGGCTGAAGCGAAGTTAGACCACAGGAGGCAACTCCTAGGGACCAAGGACCCTTTGACCCCCATCAAATATTTGAGGGGGTTGCCCCCCAAAAGTTGATAGGCATTGCCATTCAAATGGTGCGGGTGTTATGGGGCTTATCTGAGGCTCCCCCATTTTTTTTATTCAAGTTGGCACCCCTAAGTTATCAGGGTCATGGAAATGAACCCAGGGGTAGTAATGTTTCCCTCAACACAGTTGCTGTGCCCAGGGAAAATGGCTGCGTGGACACCGTGGCCGATACCTGTGGTGAACATGGCTCATGCAAACACAGAGCTGCCATCTGGCGTTGGGCTCCCTTGAACTAAGAGCAGAGATGGCTCTCCCCACAACAACCACCTCAGCAACTATTCCAAACTCTCTTGACTGTACAAACAAGACCTTAAGTGCCCTTTCAGAGCTGAGATATAATTTTTTTCTCTGTAGGCAAGCTCTTTTCCTCCCTTTTACCGGAAATGCAAATTTCCTCTGTTCTGTCTTAGCAAGCACAAATCCGTAATCAACAGACAACCATTATTTTTCTCTCACACATTCCAGCCAATATAGCTTAGAAATTTAGCCTTGCTACCTTGAAAACAAGTGTTGTGTCAAGCGCAAAAAGTCCAATGGTATCTCAATTCCATGGCTGTAGGAATATCATTAGTCTGAAAAACTGCCAATTTGTCTCAGTTTTTCTTTTCCTTGGATCAGCATGTGCCCTGGAGGCAACTACCACCCTGGACCCAAATAAATTGCCCTTAAGAAATATATATAACTTAAAGCAAGCAAATTTCCATATTTGCAAGGAATATTTGCCTATCCTTTGGAAAAAGAACAGACAAATGAATTCTGTCATTTCTTTTCCAATAACAATTAGTTAGAATTATTTATCACTAAAACAATCTGTAAACAAATTTTAAAGTTTGCAGGAGAATTAAGGCAGCATGGATGGAAGGCAATCTTTTTGGTTTACATAGATACAGTGCTCTTGCAGCTTTTAATATCTTAAATACTGCACCACTGTGGAGTTGAGTTTGATGTCTACCTCTTACTGCAGACGATATTAAGGTGAGGTCTAAAATAACACCGAAGAACTCACTTTTAATTATCTTTTAACACGATGAAGTACAAACAGGTTCAAGTGGACCATATGAACACTTAGTAGAGCAACATGACCATAATTTGTAATGGGACAACAAATGTAGGTAGTGCCAAATAAATATTACAGCTGATACTGAATAGATGTGCAACAATACTATTTCTGCTGACCCAAGTTTTAAGAAGAGAGAGTAAAAGAAAGAGCTGGAAGTAACTGTGGGGAGTGACTGAACATATCATCAGTAGTAGGTTCCAGTCTGCTTTAGATCCTTTCTCAAGGTTTCCTGGCTTTAAAACACACACACAAATCTCTCTCTCTTTTTTATCAAGAGGAAATGGGCTTTGCATAGCTTTTCTCATAGTTCTGAAAGTGCGAGCTGCAGATTTACTTCCAACCCAAGGTTGGTCTTGTGTAAACAATTTTAAAAACCATCATCACCAAGCAACCACCATCGTGCCTTGAAAATCAGTTGACCTCAGTCAAACAGCAGCATCCAGCCTTTCATTGTGTAAATGAATAAATGTTATTTTTCTTCACAATAATGTTTAGCATATTAACACTGTCCACTATGTTTTCAGTGTCTCAGATGTGTCCCTCCCTGAACAACTGACATACATGGATATGGGTGGTCAGAAGCAAAACAAAGTAAAGCATAATTAACAACGCAACCCACCATGAATCCATATAAAAAGGAATCTCCTTTCAAAAATATACTCAAGATGTGCTGCATACTGAAACATGCCTTGATACATATGTGAATCAAACAAAAAATATACCACTGCTGAGGCCATCAATGGAAGAGGAATCTTCCAACATTTCTCTTCTCTGGATGTCCACAAATTCTAGTGGCATACATACCTTTGTAAATGCCTATCATGTCACCTCTTACTTGCTTTTTCTCTAACCTAAGAAATCCCAAATGAAGCAACTTTTTATCACAGTGGAGTTGCTTCATGCTGTGAGCTCCAAGGTGACCCCTGCTCTGTGTATGAAGCTACAGTTTCCTCTTGTGTAATGGTCTTTTGAAAGTGACCTAGAAGGCAGCATATAATTATTCAGCCTAAATCAACATTAAATAAATAAATCTCCTACCCCTGTACCCTTAACAAATTAACAATAATTTGCACAAGCCACAGCATCTAACCCTTTAGCCTCAAATAACTCAGCCTTCTTATGCAACCCTTCTTAAAGAAGCTTTTGACCCCTGATTGGACAGGAGTGAATTCTTCCCCAGACTTGTTTCCCAATTCAGGGTACATGTCTTTTCTGAGCTGGCAAATGGATAGCAAGACCTGTTGTCTCTATTGTGTGGCACATAGTTCCCCACTCTGAACCATGCAACCAAAAACTGGTTGGATAATTCAACTGTAAAATATGAGAAAATGAGTGAAAAAACTGCTTTTTGGTTCCCATTGCCTCTTTAGGGTTTGCAAGCCACTTCCTAGTTTATTGTTTATCCTAGTTTATGAATAGTATCCTCCATCCCAAATACAACAACCAACAGACCTGGCGAATAAATCATACTTGGACACCTACAAGGAGACAGCATCCTCAGGCCTGTTCCAAGGCATTTTGCCACCTGAGGCAAAGATCAAGATGGTGCCTTCTCCCCATTCCATGGTTCAGAAGCTGACTAAACCGGCAACTGAACCTGTGCTTCCACACTGGCAATGGGATAGTCTTCTTCCACTGAACTTGAGGAAGCAGGCTAGCTGAAGAGATCCAGCGCAGGCCATGTGGTATACACAGTTGTGCCTTCCAACAGAGGGGGGGCATTTACGGGGCTTGGGAGGAACAGCTAGCAGCCATTGCTGTCCCCTATGTCTTTGCTGGTCTTCCAGTAGCAGCAACAGAAGGAAGATTTCTCTCCCTCTCCCTCCCTTAATGCCTGGCATGCTGCCATAGTAGCATACCAAGCATCCTCAGAGAAGGAAGGAGGGGGCAAGATATCTTCCTCCCTTCCCCTTCTGCTGGAACAGCAATGAAGATAAGTGAAGGGGATATGAGGCAGGAATGGGGTGGGAAAGAACAGGGAGGCAGGGCTTAAAGTTCTTCTGTGACCGTGAGCTACAGAACTTGTGAGCCTGCAATGTTTGCCTTTCCTGAGCCAGGAAATATGAATTTTGTCTGCACCATTATCTAACACAGTAGCTCAACCGGCCTGTGCCAGAAGCTGCAATATAGATATGACACTACTTGCTAAATCATTTGCCAATGGTGAGGACCACCGTCCAATCCCCTAGTGTTTGAGGCATTCTGTTTTGTCATAGGTTGCTGTTTCTTGGCAATTTAAAGCATACAATAGAACCACATATCCACACAAACTCCTCCGCACCTTATGATTTATCTCTTAGCATTATGAGGGTGACGATCAAGTTTCTGGCAAATCTCAGTCAGTTTTGCTCGCCTTAGATTGGGTACAATTTGTGAAGCTTGAAGGATTCTATCCTCAAAGTATCTGCAGAAGAACTACCGCCAATCCCAGCTATGAGCTGAACTTACCTGTTCTTTGGTGGTAGAGAAATGATGGGTAGGTGTGGGAATCCAGGGTGTTTTTGTCACTTCAAGTACATTCTGGGTAGGGTTGACTTTGCCCATGTTTTTATTGTTGGTTTCTGTGACATTGCTGATGAAAACCACTGTACTGCTAGTGCCAAGAACATTTTGTGGACTGTGTGTTATAGAATTAAATGTAAGGGCTGTGCTTCTAGTGGTTCGAACAAATGTTTCAGTATCTTCAAAATCTAAGATGAATAAATGACAGTAAATAAAGTCAGTGCTAAGCATAGTTGAAAATACTTTTAGGCATACTAATCACATATTGTTTATTGTTCTAGCCAAAGGCCATGAGAAACTTGCAGCAGTAATATTAATAAAATAATCCAGAACAAAATACATCCATAATAAAAGCCAACCTCCATGATGTATGAGAGAGAAGATACCAGAGTAACCAAGAATCTTAAATTTAGTTTAATTTCAGGTTAAACCCCAGAATCACCAAAACAACTTATAACAATTTTATCTGTTTCATTTGTCCTGATTTTATTTTTGCAGCTCATACATACCGGATGCTCTCTATGTTATTGTCAAGAAAAACCAAACCATTCCTGCTTGCTAGTGAGAACAAAGGTTTCAGAAAGTGATCTCTTGGATCTCTGCAAAAAGGGGCAGGCTAAAAGATAATGATTGATGTCTTCCACCTCAGGTTAACCACAGATACAAAGTGTGTCTGTGTATGGGATCTTGTTATAGTGGCCTTCAAAGACTGTGGTGGGCATTACTTGGAAAAGCAGCTTCCTGAAACTGGCAAGAGTTTGGTCAGATAACTAGCTCTAAAATGCTGTTATCAGGATGCTCCTGGCAAATAGAAGGGGAAGAAATGGAGGCAGTGAGAGATTTTACTTTCTTGGGTTCCATGATCACTGCAGATGGTGACAGCAATCACGAAATTAAAAGACACCTGCTTCTTGGGAGAAAAGCAATGACAAACCTAGACAGCATCTTGAAAAGCAGAGACATCACCTTGCCGACAAAGGTCCATATAGTTAAAGCTATGGTTTTCCCAGTAGAGATGTATGAAAGTGAGAACTGGACCATAAAGAAGGCTGATCGCCAAAGAATTGATGCTTTTGAATTATGGTGCTGGAGGAGACTCTTGAGAGTCCCGTGGACGGCAAGAAGATCAAACCTATCCATTCTTAAGGAAATCAGCTCCGAGTGCTCACTGGAAGGACAGATCCTGAAGCTGAAGCTCCAATACTTTGGCCACCTCATGAGAAGAGAAGACTCCCTGGAAAAGACTCTGATGTTGGGAAAGATGGAGGGCACAAGGAGAAGGGGACGACAGAGGACGAGATGGTTGGAAAGTGTTCTCGAAGCTATCAACATGAGTCTGACCAAACTGTGGGAGGCAGTGGAAGACAGGAGTGCCTGGCATGCTCTGGTCCGTGGGGTCACGAAGAGTCGGACACGACTAAATGACTAAACAACAACAACAAATAGTTGCAGGTCGCCTTCTAGATTCTATCCAGAAGAGCCAATCCCTTAGTTGTCACTTGTTTAAGGGCAATACAGAGCTCAGTTCTGGAAAGCACCCGCAACAACATCTTGACAAGCTGCTTTCCAGGGTCGGTTATCTCAGGAAAGAGCTTGATTGGCATAGTAGCAATTCTTTTAATATATTTTAACTGAGTGCAGTTAATATATTTTAACTAGAACTCCAGTTTCTAGCTTGGAAACCCATATATTTAATCCACAAAGAATAAAATGGAAAAGTCCTCTCAAAAAAGAAAAGAAAAAATCCAATTTAAAAAAAAGGGGGGGGGGTCAATTCCACATCCAACCAAACTTATTTAATCCCCCCACAAAAATAAATCCAATTTAAAGACTGAAGAGCAGGCAGATTAGCAAACAGTTCAATAATAAAAGTGAAGTGCCCAAAGATAGATAGATAGATGGATAGATAGACAGATAGACAGATATATGGAACCTTTCCAGGTAGCTATCCAGCTCAGTATGGTCTACGTTGGCAGTGACTCTCCAGGATTTCAGAGAAGTATTTCCCATACTGTACCTGATGATGTGCAGAATTGAACCTCTCAGTGTAGAACAGATGTACTATTACTGAGCTATAGCAGACAGACAGATAACACTATGGTTGTGGGTTGCTTTTTTACCATTTTAATTTGACTTATTCGTTTATTATGACTGATGAATTCAAAAAGCATGCTTCTCATGTGATAATCAGCAACCACCCTACAATAGCAAGCTTGTTTGAGATCTTCAAAATGGATACAGAAAAAGGCATATGCAATAAAAGACGAAATGGAATTCAATCGTTTATGTGGGCTGGTCATTAGAAACACCTCTGCCCAAGGTCAAGGAATTCACTTTTAACAGGAACCTGTATATATAAGGTTCACTACATTTTGTGGGTGTGCATGATACATGCAACTGTGTCCCTGGCAAACCTGTAAACGCTAAGCCCATTCACACCTGTTCTTGAAGCACTTCCTAGCAGTCTGGGGCAAGTTCCTATCCCTCTCCACACCCAGTGCTTTCTTCACTGTTCATCAAGGGAGACATGGGTAACCCTTCAGCTTTGGAGGATCTGGTCCTGATATTCCTGCGTGTGCCCTCTCCTCTAACCTTTCATGTGCTCTGTACCTGTGTACCTCTTTGTACAAGGCATATGGGAGCAACTTGTTTTTGCAGATTTTGGTGGGCTGCTACAAAACCAAGAAGTTCTCCAATTCTGCTGTACAGAGCTGATAGGCTGCGTTAAGCCTGGCTGGTCACAAATGGCCCAAGACTGCTTTATAATAACAGATATTCAGAACTCTTCCATGTAAAATCTCATGCCTGCTCTGTTCAGGAAATAACCTGGAGGGCACTGCCCACAAGCTTCTGGTAATGGGCTGTAATTATATGAGCTTTTTAAAGTCACCTATCTTTTAGGGAATGCCAAAATTACAATGGGAGTGCAGGAAGAAACTTTTACACATTTTCCGTTCACATTCTGTACTTCTCCCTATGTGGTAAGAGAATGTTGTCCTTTCTATGTGACTGGGAATTAAGGCTCAATCTGTGGTGTTCTATGACCACTACGGCTACATTTATAGGCCAAAAAGTTTGGGACTGTTCCTTTGCAATGTGAACTTCCCTCTCTCACAGAAAACCAGGTTACCTTTCAATAGCAGGATGTGTTTGCTTGAGGTAAAGTACTCCTAGAAGCAGAGTTTCACGCATGGCAAAGCCTTGTTTTGCTGCCACAACAGTAGGCTGCCTGCCACGTATAAATTTTTTTAGCTCACGGCCCCTCTAAAAAAGTTGTAATTACTAGGTTAGAAGCAGCAGATGTTTCCAAATATGATCACTCAGTGTGTAATTATGAAGTCTTAGAATGTCAACCTATGATTTCTCCCCTGCCAAAAGGACCACTTTGTGAACTTTCATCTTGAAGTGAACAACATCCCTTTAAAACAACAACATTGACATGCATGTGTAATGCTACCAATAAAATAAAACTGTCTATCTTCTGTTGACATGTACAAGATGCATGTTCCTCCAAGGTCCTTTTCAATGTAAAACATGCGTGTTATGTTAGCCTAACATGTATTTTGAACTCCTCAGGAAGGCCCACCCCCGCCAATGAACACACAACTCACTTCTAATGTTTTTTTCTATTTTAAACTATAATCTTTGCTCTTCTCCGGAGAGGAAATTGTAGGAGTCTGTTAAATTACACACACAAAAGTCACTGTAAGTGTGAGGCCAGCCCAACATCCAGCACTGTGACAATCCATTTGCAGGAGTCCAACAATACATTTGTGGGTTAAACTCCTTCATATGGGAATCACTACTCTGTGTTATTATAGAGCGATGTGGCTTTTGTGACATGATGATTGCTTCAGTTATTGCCTTCAGGAGATTTTGGAACATATGGGCAACGCTGTGTAAACAATACGCTTAAAAAAAATAATGTGCCAAGTTAATTCAGGGCCAAAGTGGAGGTGATGATAACGGTCATGCAGTTTGCCTCTGCGTAGCAGTATTTTCTTTTGCAAATAGCTGGCGTGGGGATCCCTAAACCGCATGGCAGAGAGTTGGGGATTAACCCTTTCCCCCATCATGGTCCTGATTTCAGAATCGAAATCGAAATATTCACCCATCTCTACCTACGAACCACTCAAGCATGCTGTCAATGATCAGTCCTGACAATGGCACTTCACTCTCACAGGCCTTGGTGTGGAAGGTCTATACTTGCTTACAAACAGCCTCTACCCCAGTCTAACACTGCTACTCATCAGCAACAACATTACAGAGATATGGACACAAAGACCAAACCCTATAACAATTCTATCCTAGTGTCTTCTCTGGCAACGCTCTTACAGGGCCTGATAGTGTCACCTACAATATTGGGTTCATTCATTTTTCTCATCTTTTAATGTGACATATGCATCACAATGCCCCTCTACACAGCATAAACAGGGCTTTATCTAAAAGAAGAATAAATGGGCACTAATCTGATATCAGAAATGGCAACTTCCCCAAACCATCAGGGAAACATCCCAACATTCCAACCTCCTGGTATGTTCCATAACTATAAGGTGGCCATCCTTGAACAAAAAGGGAGACTCTTGGACTTCAGAGGGAGACTCCAACGTGGAACCATTGAATTGCAAGTTATCCATAGAATGAGTACCATCACTTCTGGATTAAATCAATCAACACAGTGGATTTTATTACACTAAATGTGCTGTTTCGCTTACCAGTGCCAGGACTGGAACAAATAATAACACTATGCATATTGGAATACTGCCTGTGATTGTGGTGTTGTTGTTTTTTAAATCAGAACTACAATAGAAGAAATGTGGTGGAGGAGCGACAAGTGAAGCTTAAAGCACAGGCTGTGTCCACTGGGAAGGACTGTGATATTTGCAAATTTTAGTAATGTCTTTCAGGTTAAATCCTATGAACATTTGCCTACAAGTACTATTGCAGTCAGTGGGACATACTCTTGAATAGAAAGTATGTTTGTGGCTGAGACAAAGCTGATTTCAAACCTGTGGGTTCAAAAGTAGTTTGTGATGCAGCAGAAGGAGTTGCTGTTAAGGTTTTACAATCAATGTTATTTTATTGACTAGCTGATTTGTATATTTGTTTTGTTTTTGTATTGACTTTAAGCAGTGTGGCAGATATAGTAGTAGTAGATTATGATGGTGTAATAAATAGCCAACAATGCTTCCCAGCTCTTAGTAAGGCTTCCATCAACAGAATGGGAAGGCAAGCAACTTTTGCACCCACAATGTCCTCACACACTAGGGATGAGCCAATCCATCAATATTGGTTTTTCAAGTTATCATTCCTGCAGTATCAATTTCAATACTCCACCTTCCCACATCAGTTTGCATTTCTTTTCTTTTAAAAAAAAGTCCTCATCAAAATTCACCAGCATGTTAGTCAGATTTTCCCCAATATATATATAAGTTTCTATGCAATTTTACCTTTATACACATTTTTACCAAGCAATTTTCTTAATACGATGCATGTTAATGTTATTTTCAATGATACATACATTTTTGTGCATGGTTTACTGCAGTATATGTATTTTTTTGTACACAGTAATTGCCTGAAGAACTGCATTGCAAAATTCAGGGAAGTACGAATTTTAAAGGATGGTTGTGTTTTGGTTCTTTTATAGTACCTGAAAATGCAAATTTGGGAGGTTCAGCTTAAATACAAACAGAATCAATTTTATCCCCCATCCCATTCCACACCCAGCTAAATCTGCTCTGAAAGTTTAGGGACCATCCAGAGCAGATTTAGAAAGGCATGAAGGTGCAGGGGAGAAGGGGAATCACAGAAAATTGCTTCCCTCTTTATTCTGCTGAACATTGGTCAAAGGATACCACTGGATATGCACATCACCACCATCATTATAGCAATAGTGAAGTCACAACCCTTATTGTGCACACACATGCCTTTGTATGTAATGGGGCTCATTGGATCACTACTTTGCTCTCATAATTGGGCTCGTTGAGTCATAGCTGGAATATTTAGGAGAAACTGTAAGTGCATTCTTATCACCATGCCTTCCAAATGCACACCAGTCATTTAGCTATTGTGTTATATCCTTTTTGCTTATCCTCTGTTTTGTCTACTTAAGACTGCAGACAAAACAAAGGGAGGATATAAAGTACGAGTAAAATGACTCATGTCACACTTGGTGTCTGATAAATTTTTTTCTTAGTCGAAATGAGGATTCTTTTTGGAGATTTTAAAAAAATATGAGTCTTCTAATCAGAATACAATTTAGTCAATAAATAATATGTAGAGTTGCTTTTCAAATAAAACTAAAAATGAAATAAGTTAGCTTTTGAAATAAGATAAGGACTGCATTTGCAACCACCAAACCAGTGTTCCTTCTGTCTGCTTTGTGAACTATCCACTCCCCAAATTTAGCTAGCAAGGACAATTGCAAATAACTGTTTAAACAAATGAGTCTTTTCCTAAGTTATATAAATATGTTGAGTCTCAAAATTTGTGCAATGCTGATAAGATTTACAGCAAAATCATAGCCATGCCTACTCAGAAGGAAGTTCAATGAAACCCCATATGCACTACATACAGAGAGCTACAATTCTCAGAGTGGCTTAACAACCATTCCTGTTTTCCCAGAGGATGCTGAGAATTGTAGCATGGTGAGGGGAATAGGGGGGTCTCCTAACAACTCTCAGCACCCCGAACAAACTGCAGTTCACAGGATGCTTTGACTGTTTGAAGTGGTATGACACTGATTTAAAGGTATAGGAGTGCAAAGGCTGAAAATCTATATCCATTTACTTGGAACTAATCCCTGTCGAATTCAAAGGGGCTTACCACTGAGCAGTGCCAGCCCACCAACAAAGCTAGCTGAGGCAGCCACCTTGGGTGGTGGGATTTCAAATGGGTGCCCTACCACCCTTGTGGGTGCCCCACCAGCCTCCCCAGCTCTACTGCTTGTGGAGCAGCACCAGTGGCTTCCAGAGAGCTCTGCGAGCTCTTTTAAGATCTCATGAGATCTTTCCAGAACTTGCCACCACCCCTTGGCAGGCACCGCTACACAGCCCAGGTAAGAGAGGCTTCGGCAGAGGGGTGGCAACTTCCCATTTCGCCTCAGGCAGCAGAATGGGATGGGCCATGCCTTCTGAGTAGACATGCATAGGATTGCACTGTTAGTGATACAACTCAATGTCCTGTCTGCTTCCTAACAGGTTGATCTACTGAGAATGTTTTCTGGATTTCAGTTTGCCAATATCATTGATGGTACTCCTCACAACTGCTCCTTTAATTTATTAGGTTTATCCCTAAGGCTCACATAAATATTTACAGTGCAATTCAATGAATGTCTGCTTAGAGGTAAAGCTCCTGGAATTCAGTGGGGCTTACTTCCAGGTAAGTAGATATAGGACTGGTGCTTTAAAATCATAAAATGTTTTTAGCAAGGAGAAAAATTCAAAGAAACTGAATATTCCTTCACATGCCTTGAATAGTCTTTGAATCTAACCCTGTGGCTATAACTTAAGACTGCATCCAGAAATTGTATGCATACTTTTCTTTAGAAAAGGCAGGCTCCAACTTCCACCCAGTAGCTCTTGATCTTGGACCTCAGATCTGTACTGGGGGAAGCAGAACAGACCATGTGGCAAACACAGTACTGTCCTCTAACACTTTGCTGGCATTTGCTTATTGCTCCACTTGGTGCCTGCTCACTGCCCACCCAAACAAATACCACAATGCAGCAACATTGGCACCGGCATGCATCACATGAGCAGGCAAAATATATGCAGATGTGGTGCCTGCTGGAGTCTGTGGCATGGGTTGACAGCCACCTGCCTGCTTTCTGAATCTGGGAACTTTCCCAGTGGTGCAGCCTGTTTTGTGTGAAGAGGAGGTAACATGTCCAGCCAAGCCAGGACAGAAACAAGCAAGCATACCAATACAGGGTGCGGACCCAGCAGGTTGTAGTGGCCAGGGAGCTCAGGAGCAATGGACCAAGGGGCTGCAACGACCAGCCCCTAATATCTGCTGCCTAAGACGTGTTGAAGTAAGAGTAGCGAAATCACAGCTAAGAAGCTCATATCATAGATATGACTGACACCCTTCTTTGGAAATTAAACCAGTGTCCAGATTTTAACAGTCAAACATTTAACTTGCAGAAACTTATAGATAAATTAAAAGATAATATTTACAGTCACATGCTTGTCCAAGCATGGGCTTTCAGTCTCTTCTTCTAACTTCCAAACAGCTGCATTTCTCTCTCTTTCCAGAGCTCAGTACTTTGTATTTCAGTTAGGCCATGCCTTGCAGCTCTTTTGAGAGATTACCACTTTTACCTTCTCCTGAGCCTTTCCTGTCTTTCTTTCAAGCAGAGAAGCACTCCAACACTCTATTCAACTTAGTAGTGTTCGCAGTGGAGTCTAAAATACAGTCATCTTGCTTCCCATAAAATGGAGTCTCGGCATCTTTATATACCTCCCATGTGACCCCTGTTAGCCAATCACATGAGAACTACTAGAGAACTCTCTAGAATTCAGTTACCAACTAATCAGATTTAAACACAAAGTAATGCACACAAGCACTTACCATTTCAGTGAAATATAGTACTATACTTAACTGGGTGGCCACCTCACACTGCTTAAAAGTAGGATGCCCTTGATAGAAGAACAGCAAGTTTTTATCAGAAGCATTTTACACTGCCTCTGATTTAAAGCTAAACTCCCTTGTACTCAGATCTGTGCTGTGGTTGGTGGATGAGACTGCCTCGCTTGCTTTCCTATCTCCACCCTCTTCCCCTTTAAATCCACCTTTGCTGCTATGGGAATGAGAGATTTTGACAGGTGGGCAGTTCTGACAGATTTGACCCATGAGGCAGATTCCCAATATCCCTGACCACTGGTCTTGCTAGCTAGGGATGATGGGAATTGTAGTCCAAAAACAGCTGGAGACCCAAGTTTGGGAAACGCTGCTCTAGATGATACCAACTATTCCTCCTAGCTAGGGAGAGCCAATCAGGATGCACCTGCTTCCTTGATGCACCTGAAGGGAAGCAGGTAACAAGCTTCAAGAAAGCAGGCGAGGGTCTAGTGGAGAAAAGATACATTTGATGCCTTTTTAAACCATACTAAGGTTGAAGTTACTGACCATTAACCTTAAAAGGGTACCTAATTACTAAATATATCAACACATGATTATATTACATTTCTTCTAAAAGTGATACCAGCTCCCCTAGTCTGATTTATCTTTCAGATAAGTTAAGTTCCTTGATGGCAGGCACCTGTCTCTGTAAAACTCTGTAAGATGCCCCACACTGATGATATAATAGGCCTAATATATATAATATATTATATATAATATATATAATATATAAAGGCCTAATAATTATGAAGTTCCCAGCGAAGGAATTATGACTGTCCTAAAAATAGGTTTAAATGACAGTACATTTATGCTATGTAAGTTGCACATTGTGTATATTACATTTGTCACATTGCATGTATAACACATTTCAGGTAACATTCCAGCACCTTTTCTTAAGGCTAAGAACCTTAAGGAAGAATTTCAACCAACACAATTTTTACTGATTTTGTTATTAACATAACATTTCTTGTCAATTCACCTAATGGGAAAGCAAAACTATCAAGACGACAAAGGGTCATTGTGTATTTTCTTGGAGAGGTATTTAACAGAACTTTGATGGCAGCAAGGGGGAACCAGACGTCCTGAATTTTTTTCACTCAAGTGTAAAATTTTGAAGAACTGTTGCCAGATAACAAAACTTTGGAAAATTATATTTAAAATGAAATAAAACATGTTTATTGGAAAATGGAAAATGGGTCTGTAGGTCAAAATTTTTGTGAATTTCCCCTGTATTTCTTCTATTTTATCCTGCTTAGAAACTATAGTACTAAGCAGCATATAAATTATTAAAATAAATAATACAGTTCTACATTACCTGCTTATTATTAGGATTACTAAGTGCTTGTAAATGCTATGTAATATCAGATGAACAAACAACTGAGGAGCTTATGTTTGTGAAGATATACCTGCCTATGCACCACTACTGTTGCTTGATTTTGTTTTTAAAAGATTGCTGATTTTTTTACTCTTCATTTCTGTGATGAAATGTTTTAAGAGGGGATGTTGTGTAATTTGTATACTCCTTTTTTGCAGACTGTATCAGACCTACACACAACAATAAACAAAACCATTTAAAAGCTATTTCAGAGTGCCAAAGGACCAAATACGAGAATTGTCTTATTATTTATTAAATTTATATCCCGCCTTCTCCTCCAAGGTACTCAAGGTGGCATACATGGTTCCCCCCTCCTCTTTTAATCCCCACAACAACTCTGTGAGGTAGGTTAGGCTGAGAGGCAGTGATTGGCACAAAGGCATCTAGTGAACTTCATGGCTGAGTGGGTATTTGAACCCTGGTCTCCCAACTCCTAGTCTGACACTCATACTATTACCCCATACTGGCTTTCAGCTAAGAAAGCACCTGACAGGCTAAAAATACCTAAGCATACGAGGAAGAGACATCTTATTCCTTTCCTTTCAAAAGTGGCTTTGAAGCTACTCTTAATGGCTTTTTATTAGTGCAAGTCATGTTACTTAAATGTCAATGTAGACAGGGCCATGAAGTTGACTGGGTCACCTTGGGCCAATCACTGCCTCTCAGCCTAACCTACCTCACAGGGTTGTTGAAGGGAAGGAGGGAGAAGAACCACATACACTACTTTGAAAAAATGATATAAATGCAAAACAAAAACTTCCAAAATTGGTCAGCGCAAGACACACTTTACGGTTCATGGGAAGCATATTCGAAGGAGTGGCTTACCATTCCTTGAGCACAGGTTGTCATGGAGAGTCTCTCCCTTCTTGTTGACGTCAATTCTTTTCCAACTATGAAGATATTTCCTCCCCATCTTCACTACTACCGTCGAGCCTTGTTTCTTGAGGAACAGAAAGCTGTTTTTCACCTCAAGGAGTCCTTCCCTGCTGTGACAGGTCCAACTGGGTGCCTCAGAGCAGTTGGTGGTGATGGCTTTGCGCGAATGGGCCGCTTTAAACCTGCTGATAGCCAGACATTGGCCAGATCTAACATGGAGGAGCTTTTCATTCTTCATCCATCTCCACTGCTGGTTTATATTGGTCAGGTTGCATGTTCCCACATATACTGTTTTATTGCTCTCATAAATACATTGCTGTTTTAGCTCGTGGATAATAAGAAAACCACCTGAGAGGGGAAATGAAGAACCCATACAAATGGGACAGAATATATGTTAAGGTTCACAGAACAGAAACAATAGCAACCATACAAGCTCCACAAGGGTGATAACTCATTTCCATAACCATTATTATCTCACTATCTTTCTGTTGTGGTAATCGCCTACAAATCATGGTAAAAAGAAAGTTTACAGTTGTGTCAAAAGGAGGTTTGGGATCATGGTGTACAGACTTTCTGCATACTTCTGTGGATTCCCGAAACTTAATTCCTCTCAGAGTAGAGGGGAAAGAAAATCAAACTAAGCCATTAATTGCCCATGTTTTCATTTCACAATAAACAATATTGTGAATAAGTCGAACTCTTAATAATCCTTTTAAAAACTGGTTTGCAACATGCAAACCATTTGCTTTAAAGTGTTTTCAAATCTGTCTCTGCTTCTCTCACCCTTGGGCTCTGTTTACTTCATATAAACATGAGATATGGTGTTATTAATATAAACTCCCTGACTTATGCTGCTCATTGCAATGCGGTTTCCATTCACTGCTTTGCAATAATGACTGACTGGTACCATGTATACAACAGTGGTTAGACTCAGGAATCACAAAATCACAAGGAATCACCCCCTTGCATCACAAAATAAGTTCTTTCCCATCCCATATTTTACAGCATGGAATAAATACAATTTCAGCTCTTTGGTGATGAGCCCCATCTTCAGCTAAAGAATATGCCTGGCTGCTTCCTTTTTCTGTGTTTCATTTGTAATTAGCTGTGGGATGATTTATATTACGATAAGTTCTAGCAAAAATGTATCTGTAAAAGCCTCTGATTTTATAACTTGCCTGCACAAAACATGGATAAAGTCTCAGAGTCCCTCACAAATGAGCATGGACCAAAGAGAGTGTCCAGTGGGGAGGACTTCTCAAAGAATGAAGCAATGATTCAAAAGAAAGTTTATTTCCTTTTTTTGATTGAAACCTAAACAATCTCAGGTTTTACTCGGCCAATGCCTCTCTCCCTTATTATATAAACTGAAGCACGGAAATCATTCCCTTTCAGCAGCTCAGGGGAAACTCCCAGGAACTCTTGGGAACCACGGCCAAAACGGGCAAGAAACACAAAAATCTGAAGGGGAGTTGTACTTACCAGAGATCCCAAAAGCCAGGCAGGTAGAAATTAGAATGTGAAATAAACTCTCCATTTTTCTTCTAACAACTCCCATTGCTTCTTTCTCTTTCTCTCTCGCTCATTTTTTTTTCTTTTTAGAAAAATGCATACCCTAGATAAGTGAAGCGAAGGCTAGGAAGGAAATGTGCCTTCACAGGAGGAAAATGTCAGTGACGAACACTTCCTTCTATTCAATTGTTTTTTTTGGGTTTTTTATACCACTTTGTCGTTTCATATGATTCTTCAGTATGCACTAGCTATCTGTCCTGGCTAGGCAAAACACAAGCAAAAGAGGGGTACATTTCAAAAACAAATACAGGGCTTAAGCTTCTTTGAAAACTCAGCAGAGGAAAAGGGGCTATAATTTCCTTTAATTGCCTGTCTGTAATCCATTCTGTGTCTGCAGGTATTCTTGATTGGCCGATGTAAATATATACTATGTTGTCCTGTAAACACTCAAGCTTGTGTAATGATATGTTATGAATCCATCCAGGAGCGCCACGTGATTAGATACCACGTTTGACTCACACCCAGAAGTCTCTCTCATTAGGCTTATTCACACATTATACTGTACACGGGTGGCACTGTGGGTTAAACCACAGAGCCTAGGACTTGCCAATCAGAAGGTCGGCAGTTTGAATCCCCGCGACGGGGTGAGCTCCTGTTGCTCAGTCCCAGCTCCTGCCAACCAAGCAGTTCGAAAGCACATCAAAGTGCAAGTAGATAAATAGGTACCGCTCTGGCGGGAAGGTAAACGGCGTTTCCGTGCGCTGCTCTGGTTCGCCAGAAGCAGCTTAGTCATGCTGGCCACATGACCCGGAAGCTGTACGCCGGCTCCCTCAGCCAATAAAGCGAGATGAGCGCTGCAACCCCAGAGTCGGCCACGACTGGACCTAACGGTCAGGGGTCCCTTTACCTTTACCTTATGGGTGTATAAGTCTTTGTGTGAAAGAATGGACACTCGCAGATTTGGACAACTCAGCTGTTCTGAACCCAGGTACACAAACTGAACACTTGTTGAATGTCATGTGTGAACACTCCTATTGTGAGTTTAATTGATGCCAATGGCTTGGACCTTTTATATTAGGAAGCCAGCATGAAGGGAAGGCCATGACACTGAATTCTGATTCTTCTCTCATTTGCACAGTGGTCCCTTGGTTTTCGAACGTAATCTGTTCCAGAAGACCATTCGAGTTCCGAAACATTCAACAACTCAATAGCCGACAGCTAGGCCTCCAGATCTTGAACTCAGCAGAAGCCGTGTGGCATGGTCAACTTCCAAAGCGTGTTCAAAAACCGAAGTATTAACTTCTGGGTTTACGGCATTCAAAAACTGAAACGTTCGACTTCTAAGATGTTTGAAAATTGAGGTACCACTGTATCCTTTTTTGATCTTACCTTGTCCAGATGGATGGAACACTTTTATGCAGCGTCTGCCTCTTCTGAGTGCAGAACCGTAAATCTTAGAGCTTCTTCCTTTGTTCCAGGGAGACTGGGGCATGTACTGGGGCATGGCTCTCAATCTACCCACCAAGATATACCCATGTCTATCTCTGCTATCTCTCTGTGGTTTCTCCCTGTTTCTCATTTTCTCAATCTTAAATTCAGTTCTTCACAATTCGACACAATTGCTATTTTAAAAAGGCCTCACAAAAATTAATCAGTATTTTAGTGCAGATTTATTCTAATATCCACATTTGCCTAAAATACACATTTTTGCAAGGCAGTTTCTCTTAATATAATGCATTTGTGTATGTTATTTTCAGTAATATAATCCTTTCTATGTACACTTTCCCCTAATATAGGCATTTTTGACACAAATTTGGAGAAGCGTGACTTTGAAGGACGGCTGTGTTTCAGTTCACATTTTGTTTCAGAAAGTGCAGATTAGGCAGCCTTTAAATGCAAACTGAGTCTCATTTCGCCCCTACCCATGTATAATCCTGAGGTACCTTGCACCCTTGGCTCTAGCTAATTATCTCATCTTTAGCTAATACTACTTTCACATATCTGTAAAGATAGGTGTGTCAATTTCCGTACCACTCACATCCAGAGGGGAGATTTCTGCACGGCAGGTTGAACACTGAAGTACTCAGCTGAAATGGCAGGAAATGTTTCAGGGAAAGGCCCTATGCACTCACCAATGGCCTCACACCACTTTCTGCCAGCTGAGGAGATGGCCCAGAGCCAGCCCTACCATTAGACAGAGTGGGGAGGGCACCTTTAACAGCTGATGCTGGGTTGGGTACAAGTGGTAAGGTGTTGGAGGATAAAGCTATGTGTGCTGTAATGAGTCCTGTCCTATAGACCGTCGGAAACTAGTCTGCTGCCCCCTGGTGCACTGGAGGGCACGGTAAGGCTCAGATGCCAATGAGATAATTATCTTTTGTACATGGAATTAGGGAGGGGGTCAATTTGTCCTTCACCTCAAGCAGAAAAGACATCTTGGATTAGGCCTAGGTAGACCAGGGGAAGGAGCATATTTCAGGGAACTGCGGGAAGTAAAATGCCCAGGGTGGGGTATTCCGAGATGAGTATCACTTCAACATGAAGCTAAGAGACAGACCTGAGTTTCATGGGCTTGCTGAGGGAGAAAATTGGCTGGTAATCGGTGAAATAACATGAGGAAAATATAGACATCTTTAAATATTTTGTATCAAGTTTATTGGTTGGATGAAGCAAGGGTAACATAACTGCTTTAGAAACTCATTATCAAATCCTATGCTGAGACTCCTCAGTTCTTGCCAAATGGGGGGTTCCAGCGATACTTTTTTGTCTTTACAAACTGATCACTGCGAAGATAAAAAGAAGAAAACACCAAGATCCTCATGGTCCATTCTAGTTTGTGTTCCCCTGAACACCCATCCATCTCATTACAATAAATGGAACTTGTTGTTTTTTTTTTTAAAAAAAGCTTTCGGTAAAAGACAGGCAAATATTTAAAATTCTTACCATTTAGTATATGTTACAAAGTTTCTCTTTTTTTAAAATGAAAACGACTCACGAGATTTACAAATACACCGGATTCTGTCCAGGAGCAAAAAGCAGCTTCTAAGACAATCGACAGTATCAAATATATACATCAACATTGAAAAAAAGACACTGGGCTCAATCCACTGGAAATGTCACTTGTGCAAGCCCCAATGAAGCGAAAGAGAAGTTCACAAGGGTACAGCAACCTCGAATGAAACACAGGATTTCTTTTATAACGTTTATTTGTTTCAGTCAGGCTCACACAGGAAACACTCCCTTTGTGTGGCCGCCATTGTGTTCCACAATGCTTTACAGAATTTACTATACACACTTAAATATCTAAGAGTACTTGGGAGTTGTCGTATAAGACAACTTAGGAGCTGTCATATAAAATACCTAACTGATTTTGAATAGTTTCAAAAACAATGGGCTTTTCTTCTGAATGCTTTTTAAAAAATATTTGTTTCCATTTGAAGCCAATAATTGACCAAGAATCATAATTGGCAAGAATCATAAAAGGCTCGGAATAAAGTTTACCACATAATAGGTAATAGCACTTAACAGGTACAGTAGAACACCTGACAGCCTATTCACAAGACAGACTTTTTGTTGTTGTTGCAAACGTTAAAGCATTTGTACAGATTTCTTCAGTGGAATTTCCCAGGTCCATCTATCGTAGAACATACAAACATACGTTACATACATTCTGTGTGGCAGATCCCACTAATACAGAAACAAATCCTCCATAAGATATATATGTGAAATCCAAATGTAACATCAGTACATTAACCTTCATTTAAAAACTGGTTCAGGGAACTCACAATACATTCAAGACAAAGGTCTGTCAATCTTGTATGCTTTTGTTTTTAACCATCCACATTCCTTTTACAAGTTGGCTGCAGCACCACTCCTCTTCACGGCTGTAAACTCCTTGAAGAAGTTGCTGGTAGGTAATGAATCAAATTACCCCAAGAGAGATCAACATATTTGCTTCTTCCTTCTTGGTTTCACTGGACAGCTTCAGCAGATGGCCTGCTTTCGTACAGGTTCAGCGCATGATGCACAAATTCATACTGTTCACTGGTTTGGACCATTCCACCTCTGGGGGGGAAAAGGGGGGAGGTAGAAAGAGAGTGGCAAGTACCTTTAGTGACAGAATAGTTCCCACCACCCCAGAGAGCTTAAAGGGGTATCACTGCTAATGGCATGGAAATTCAGATGCTATTGAGCTCCAGTTCCCATCAGGTCCAGTCAGCATGGCCAATAAGGATACTGGGAGCATCTCCTGGTATGTCCCACAGAGGAACTTACGGTCTTCAAACAAAAACATCCTGAAGGTCCCAGGCCACAGAGAGGTTAGGCTGGCCTCAACTAGAGCCAGGGCTTTTTCGGCTGTGGCTCCAATCTGGTGGAACGCTCTGTCACAAGAGACTAGGGCCCTGCAGGATTTGACATCTTTCCACAGGGCCTGCAAGACAGAGCTGTTCCACTAGGCCTTTGGTCAGGGCACAGCCTGACTCCCTCCTTTGGCAATCTTCACAGAACTTTAGCCAAATGGTTGCCATCAATTTGAGTTGAATTAATTTTATAATGAAATGATTTTAGAATGTTGTACTATTTTATTGTTGTTAGCCGCCCTGAGCCCAGCTTCGGCTGGGGAGGGCGGGATATAAATAAATTTTTTATTATTATTATTATTATTATTATTATTATTATTCCAACAAATATTTGGAGAGTCAGAGGTTTCTCATCTCTGGCTTATGGCCTGTAGGTTCACATTACTTTTCATTTCTGTCTAACAAGGTTTCACATGGGGTTCTGTATCAGGCCCAAATACAGTAATGAGCAGAAACTTAATGTTAAAGATGGATGTTTGCAGACAATCTGCTGCATTTTATATTTCACGCCATGAAAATCTAAAATTACACCGTCAGATTTTGCTTCCTCTTTTTGCAACGTGCAGTGCCTCAGCCACCGAACTATTTATTCCAAATTAATTTGGACGGAGCAACGTGCGTCTTAAAACGTAGCAGCAAATCAAAACCTGGCTCCCAGTGTCAATGCATTTTCATTCTTACACTAAATATGTGACCTATTGTGACCCTAGGGGCACATGTACAAAGTGCAGGTTTTCCTGTCCTTTTTCTAACGCCTCCCAGACTTCCTGCCTTACCAGCTGACACAGAAGAAATTCTGCAGCAG